CAACCTTTAGAAAACCATTAGATGACCAATTGACAACATGCAGAAAATCATTAGAAACCATCAGACAACCATTCGACAACCTTTAGAAAACCATTAGCCAACCAAGGTTGTATAATGGTTTTCTTAAGGTTTTCTAATTCTTGTCTTATGGTTTTCTGAATGTTGTCTAATGGTTTCTAATGGTTTTCAGAAAGTTGTAAATTCGTTGTGTAATGTTTTTCTAACCTTCAGAAAACCACCAGACAACCACTAGAAAACTCAGAAAATCATCACAACCATTAGATAACCTTCAGAAAACAATTACAAAACCCATTTACAACCTTCAGAAAAACATTAGAAATCATTAGAAAACCATTAGAAACTGTTAGAAAACCTTCAGAAAACCATCTGACAAAAACCATTAGACAACCATTAGACAACCAATACACAACCTTCAAAAAACTATTAAACAACCATTAAACAACCTTCAGAATACCAGTAGACAAACTTTCAGAAAACCATTAGACAAAAACCATTAGACAACCCTTAGACAACCTTTAGAAAACTATTTGACAACCAATTTACAACCTTCAGAAAACCATTAGAAACCTCTCTTCACCTGTTTGTTCTTTTGCCTCGCGATACAATTGGAAAGATCAAGTATAAATACAGCCCTAATACAACTATATATACTAGGAACAATTTTCTAATGAATAAATAAATAAACAAAGGAGATTCACTCCCAGACAGAGGGACAGGAAGGCCCGATGGCATTGCTTAACAAGTGGTGGCCCATGCACTACCCTTGATCTTCCTATCCCACCACAACGGTCTGAAGACCATTAATGGGGAAAGTCATTGTATGTTCCCCTAGCCTAACCCTAACCCTATGGGAATATGCAAACATCCACCAAGATTAAGGAATATGAATGCTTCACTGCCTTCCTTGAACTAAGACTAAGAACTCAGAAGGCAGTGGATCAGGTGCACTAGTATGCATGCGTCAGCACATCTGCATGTCAAAGATTTCTTCGTGGTGTCTATCTTAGGTATTGGTATCCAGTATCATCACCGGTACTGATGCTGCACTGCCCTGGTCCCAAATCCCACTGACTTTAGCACAAAGATGGGTTATATCACTATTTGGTCTAGGTCCCTAATTTGCTTGTAGGTTTTAGTACAGATCTGTCCATCACCAATCTGACCAGTACTGCTATTTGTGGAGTTGTATATAAATCTTAACATTTCAAGAAAATTACTGGAATGAATTTTGATTTTGAGATGCGATAAATACTTGTATAATGCAACTTGTGAAACTGTCTTTGGGAAATGTTTATGGCATATGATGTATTAAGAGAAACTTTGGGAAATACTGATGTGATGTTTATAGCATTTTACTGTAGGTGATGGTAGAAAATTTAAAAATTCTTTAAAATCTCAAAAAACATCATGATGGTTGATAAAACAGCAAAACTGACATTAAACATAATGATGGACTCAGGACACCATACATGATGATGATGATGATGATGATGATGATGTTGTTTATTCCATAACAGGGTTTAATTCAACATAGCACCACAGGTGGCATCCTTGGTAAGAGCTTTGTATGTTTTGTGTGGTGCATCAATTCTGTCACTTCGAGCAAAGAACAGTTACTGACCTCTAGGGACAATTTTTCACCTGATTTGTGGAGGAGAGGCAAGAGAGGTAGAGCGCATGTAAGGATGAGATGGCATGGAGTCCGTTCACCTTTAACATCTTTATTTCTTTCCAATCTGAGATCTTTACACAACAAAGTGGAAGAACTACTTCTGCTAATCAAACCAATAAGAACTTTTCAAACACATCTGCCCTCTGCTTTCTGATATGAGCCCAGACAGTATGCTGCACCTCCCCAGACACAGAGCTCAGTGGCAAAACCAGAGGAGGAGGTTTCTGCTTCTGTATCAATGAACGCTGGTGCAAAGCAGCTGTGAAGATCCTGAAGTTTGCTGATGACACCAATGCTGCTGAACACAGACAGTTGTAACATGCCAGAATGATTCAGATGCTTGCAGATGAAAAAAGGGAAAAAGGCTTTACTAGTTAAATCCAAAATGGTAACCAGGTAACAGGCTCAGGTCAAATCCAAAAGAGACAGAAAGTACAAACAAACTAACCCGTGACAAAGTGTACCAGCAAAATTACAAAAGACCCCTCTCATCCTGGACATCACCTCTTCCAGACACTCCCCTCTGGTAGATGATTCAGGGACATCAAATCCAGCAAAATCAAACACGCTAACAACTTTTCAGAAAGTCAGTATTCAGGCTGGCAAAGCATAATCCACAATGTGGAAAATGCCTCCTTGCTGCATCACATGACCATGGACTCTTACATGACGACAAACTCTTGACTACAGACTCTCTCCAATCCACCTATCAGCGCTTCTCTTCCTCAGACTTCTGATTGGCACTCACACCTGTTCCACATCACCTCATTAGTTATTTAATATATAAGCCGGGCTTTAGGTTGGATCTTTTGTGAGGTATTGTCACCCATGTGTGTACTGAGTGTTGCTCTTTGTGAGTCTGACAGTTTCCTGTTTAGTACTGTGAGTTTGGCTGTTCCTTTTTGTTCTGTTTTGATTTTGGACGACACCTTTGTTACTAAAGATCTTAATCTTAAGTCTCTGCTGCAAGCGTCTGGTTTTGTCTGCCACCGTTACGTTCAGATATGAGTTTTGAATAAGATATAAGAAAAACAAGGCATATTTAGTATTAGAGCATATCTAATTTTAGAGCTGGACACAACAGAATTTTGGAGAAATGTCTGTGTGTTTGTTTTCTGAACTGCAAAATTCCTCATCTTCAGATTTGAAAGAAAGACCAGAAATGATAAGTAGAAGACAACAGACAAGATTAGCTGATTCTGATATCAGATGAAGGACGTGTAGCGAACACTGGCTGAAACTTTACCCCCAGGCTGAGTGTTTCTAACGCATCAACAACCCAGAGTTAAGGGCCTTTTGGCTCCAGCGAGTCTGCAGTGGAAAGTGTAAATCTGTCGACTTAACGCTCCCAACCCCAAACTCAGTCAAATTTACGACTGAACCAAGAACCAGCACCCCTCTCCCTCGACCCAGGGGGCAACACCTCCCTGGAATATTGGCCACATGGCCCTCCAAAGTCCTGTGGACAAATTTATCTTTAAGTAACAGAAAGTATATTTCTAAGGTATATGTCCACTCCAAACTGCAACCATTCGTTAGAACTCTTTTTAACTAAACTAGACATACCAAGAACGGAACTGATACGACAATCTGGACTGCAAATTTCAACTTTCTAAATTCCCTTGGGATCTCAAGCATGGACCCACAGCATCCCCAAGGAGTGAAAACGAGAATTACAACATCACCACCGTAAGGACATGTGCTTATAAGGAACCCAAGAAACTTCTGGCTTTGCTTGATTATCAACATTTATATAATCTGTAAGCAATACTACTTGTATTAATCTTGTTGTTGTGTAGTACCTAAATATTACCTGTATCTTTTTTTACTATTAAGTGCTAGAAATACGTAGTGTATAACTTTGATAACAGACAGACCCAACCATTAAATTGCTATGAGTTTAGACCATTGACCAATATGTATCCTGAATGTGGTTTTCTTTTCTTCCTTTGTTCCTTTCCTTTTATTGTCGATTTTATTTCTTCATGCATTGGGTCATATTCAGATATTATAGGCAAATATTACCTGTACTCTTTAACATATGTTGTGTATGAGGTAACAAGGTTTAAACTCTCTCTTAGAAACATACCTGAATATCCTAGATGTTCATTCCTTGATTTTGAAAGTTAAACCAATTTGATGATATAGGAATGTTTCTTTTTCTTTGTTTAAACTAGCTGAAACAAAGGAGGCAGTGATTCTGGGGAAGGCATTCCTAAAATTATGCACAACCAATCAGAGTTGGAAACAATGAGTAGCTAGTTAACCTTAGGTGAGGAGAACCTATCAGCACTCTGGCTCCACCTCCAAAGGGTAGGGCCTCCAGCCGAGCAAAACCAGAGTGCACCGCAAATTTCAGTAGTTCAATCCAGAGTCCTGCGTTCTCAAATAGTATCACCAGCCTCAGAACCCTGATTGCAACCTAAACCTCGCCAGCGGAGTGGGAGCGGTCCTGACGCCACGGACACCCAGCATCGCACCCAGAGCCACGCACTGATCTGTGAACAGATCGACCATCGAAAGGCTGCCCAAGCTCCACCGTCAGACGGCCACGAGACGCCTCCGCCCAATCACTGATGGAAAGGTGCGTGCCTGCGCGGAGATGCAGCATCTACAGCCAGCGAGGAGATGAACCACCGCATGAGTACCAGCCTTCGATCGAGTCCGTCCTGGGACGACCCCGCCTGAAGTCAGCCTCCGACTCCAATGTAAGCTGGTTCCATCAATTTGCAGTCAGGGCCCTGACGCCAACTTATTTAATAAGAGAACTTTTAATAGGTACATTCAGCCTTATAGTTATTCCCGTACATACTTAGTTTAATTCTCTAGAGGCTCTCCCAAGCGACTTCCCAAAACCACACCGCCTTATACCATTTAGCCATGAATCACTTTACTCGAGCTATTTTGTCTTTTTGACTTTCATTACTATCACTTTGTTTTGTTTTATTATCTGGTTTTATTTTCTATTGTTTATGATTGAGTGTAGTCCAAAGTAGTTTGATAATAAATTCCCTTTTCGGAAGCATCCTTGGTGCGAGCGTTTCCCTTTTTGCCCTGGTCTGTAGACTTCAAATAAATCCGGGTTACCCCACCCCCTCACATAAGGTTCTAGCAATAATAATATAATATTAAAAATTGCAAAACCCGTTACAGACGGCTGGATGTGAGTTGAATAAATCTCAATGTAAATGTGTGAAGACTGCAGCAGTGTGTGTAAATATAAGTCTATAAGTGCTCACATACAGGAATGTGCAGGTTCAGTGGATGGAAAATAAAAAAATAAACAAAACACAATGAGGCTGTGGAAAGAACAGCAGTGGTCCAAGGTTTAATGTTTTCAGGCTTCACCCAATTCAAACAAATTTAATACAATAATGATTATTCATAAGTTATAATAGAAAATGGTTCAGTCTTAAAACTACAAAAACAATATGCTTTAATCTTGCATCTGTTCATCATCTGATAGCAGAGAGATTATAGGTGAGTAAAATTAGCCCCAGAGTGTGTTCTGCTCAGCCCTCGCTCGCCTTCATTCTCCTAAATGTACTGGATTACTGCAGAATTCTGAAACAGGTCTGTCAGCAGCATAACATGCTTTCCAGTTGCCTCCAAGATGGAGGGACAGGGCAAGTTTACTTGAATAGCACCTTTCATACACAGTGGTAATTCAAAGTGGTTCACACAAATGCCGAAACGTGTAGTAAAAACAATGCAAAAATAGTAAAAAAAAATGTGTTTAAAGTGCACTGCAGAGATCACATGTCCAATAGCAATAACTCAACTCTGCATCTTCCTTCTCCACTGCAAAGGTTTGTGATGTTGGAGGTCATTAGAGATAACACATCTAAACTTAACCCTAACTTTACCTTCAACCTTAGGTCTAACTCCTAAAATCCCACCCCACTTACAGCTATGACTGGGGGCAACTGGCCCTTCCACAAACAGTGTGTGTCTGTCCATTTGTTTGGTCGTTCAATTCTTGCATGTGTTCTGTCCATCTAATTCTCAGCCATATTCACAGTCTAGTCTTATTTATTTGTTGTTGTTGGCTTTTTTTTTCCAAAATCACATTAAGGCATTTGGTGTCAAGAATTGAGAATTTTGTTTTAATTAATTAATTAATTAATTAATTAAAATAGCACCTTGTCCAGAGGCTGATAAAAAAGGATACAGTTAATAATAAAACAATTTCAACACACATCAAGATAAAATTATTAAAAATACCTGTCATCCATTTTATTTCTACAAGAATTTGAAACAATGTTATAGCTTCTCAATCCTTTCAATTGGTATTGTCCATTGGACATTTTGATTATAACCAGCGAAACACTGTACAAAAAAAGTTACAATATAAATCAGTCCAGATAAACTATTATTAATAACCAGTGTGTCAGGAACAGGGTTGGGTAGTAAAGGAATAAATGTACAAGCGTTACATAATGATACAAAAAAAGTAACTGTATTTTGCTACAGTTACAGTACAAGAAAGTACATTATAGGAACAGAGTGATTACCAGCAGAATTACATTCAAACCATGTACACGAAGTCATCACTTTTGTTGAATTTTATCGTTTAAATGATAAATGTCACAGGAATCAGGTACATTTGAGGAATTTTGAACTTGGGGAAGACACGGGGCGGATGGTCCTGCAGCCGGGAGAGAGTTATGAACAAACCCCCATCACGTGAACTTCAGGTATTTTATTTGTATTGTCAGAACTGAGATCTGCTGCATTTTCCTGAAGATATTGGAGTCACTCATGTACCCTCGGTTCCCACATTGCCAGATTCTACAGCAGCGGACTGATCTGATCTGACAGCTCTTCTATTCTCATCTGTTTCACCATAAAAATCTATAGTTTGAGTAGCTGTGAATGAAGCTTTTGTGAACATTAACCTGCCAGATTTTAATGCTGAAGTGAACTAACACTAACAGTCTGAAATGTGAACAGAAAGCAGTCTCACGAAGGAAGTTAGTTTAGTTTTAATCTTTCTCTTTGGTAGTTTTTGAATGGTGGGTGCAAAATGGCAAGATGTGTAAATTATGATTTGTAACCAAGACAATCAGCTCACTCTTAGTTTCTGTGTGAAACAAATGCCTTTTAAACTTTAAGATCACATTAATTATTCTGTGCTTCAGGAATGAAATACATTTTTAAAGTAACCCTTCCAACCATGGTCAGTAATGCAGTGTTTCTCAATGAATCAGTGATGTCAGAGCTGTGAGACTTATGTCCTTTACAAGTCAGTGGACAGTAAATAAAAGGAAAGGGTCAGGAGAGTGGTCTTTATTGTAGCAAACTGGAAACGTGTCTGGTGGTCCATTATAATACTGCATTTGTCTGAGAGCACATTCCCAAGTTCCTGCTGTGAATGTTCATGTAGGAATCAAATCCATTCAGCCAAAAGTTTTCCCCTCTACTGATGAGTGGATCACCAGAGTGGAGCTCAGGAGAGCGTCAGTGTTCCTCTCAGCACTCGGCGGCGTCTCAGTGCTGCTGAGCTGAGGTCAGTAGGGGTACATGGAGATGGAGATGTAAATGATGAATATACTCTGATATGTGATGCGGCCATGCTCAGACAGTGTGGTTGCTTGTACTCGCAGCCTGACCAGGCCAGGATGGTCTAAAGTACGCATGGTGAAGATGATGCCTCTTCCAGCCTCATCCTTAATTCCAAACGGCTGGTCTTCGATCTCACCTCCTTGTTCCAGGATAGTGAAAGATGTGCGTTCTTGCAGGACACCAGCCTCAGAAAACGCTGAAAGACGGATCACGTTGTGCTGTGCTGGGATTCCGAGGGGAAGAGTCAGGAGCTTGTACTGGAGAAGGAGGGGAGAAGCTCCTGCGGCGCAGTTTGGAGAGCAGGGTCTATAACAGGTCCTGTGGACACCAAAACGGTCAGTCTGCTTGTTATCACACTGGTTCAGAATTTTGTTGAAAAAATATACAACTCCATTTCCAAAAAAGTTGGGACGTTGTCCAGAATGTACATAAAAATTAAAGGAAAATACTACAAAAACAACATATCAAATGTTGAAACTGAGAAATGTTATTGTTTTTTTGGAAAGGTAAATGCACATTTTCAATTTGATGCCAACAAAAAGTTCCAAAAAAGTTGGGACAGGGTCATGTTTACCACTGTGTTTCATCACCTCTTCTTTAAACAACACTCTGTAAGCGTTTGGGAACTGAGGAGACACTGCTGTAGTTTAGAAAGTGAAGTGTTTTTCTGATCTAGTTTGATACAGGATTTCAGCTGCTCAGCAATTCAGGGTTCTCTTTTGTCACATTTTTTTCATTTCATAATGCGCCAAATGTTATCAGTGGTGACAGATCTGGAATGCAGGCAGGTCAGTTTAGCACTCCTTAATCCTGAGCAATGCTGCTGTAATACATGCAGAATGTGGTTTGACATCGTCTTGCTGAAATAATCAAACTAACCTTCCCTGAAAAAGACGTCGTCTGGATGGCAGCATATGTTGCCAAAACATGTATATATCGTTCAGCATTAATGGCGCCTTCACAGATGTGCACATCACCCATGCCATGTGCACTAATGCACCCCTATATGATCATGAATACTGTCTTTTGAACTGTGCACTGATAACAAGCTGAGTGGTCTTTAGCCCGGAGCACACAGTGTCCATGATTTCCAAAAAGAATTTCAAAAATTGATTTGTTGGACCACAGGACACTTTTCCACTTCACCTCAGTCCATTTTAAATGAGCTCGGGCCCAGAGAAGGTGGCAGTGTTTCTGGATCCTGTTTCTTCTTTGTGTTTCAGAGTTGTAACTTGCATTTGTGGATGCAGTGATGAACTGTTTTCACAGACAGTGGTTTTCAGAAGTGTTTCTGAGCCCATGCAGTGATTTCCTCTACAGGATCATATCTGATTTTAATGCAGTGCTGCCTGAGGGCCCAAAGATCACAGCCAGACAATACTGTTTTTTGGTCTTGTCCCTTACATACAGAGATTTCTCCAGATTCTCTGAGTCTTTTAATGATATTATGTACCGTAGATGATGAAAAGCAGAAGTTCTTTGCTATTTTATGTTGAGAAACATTATTCTTGAATTGTTGCACTATTTGATGGTGCAGTCTTTCACAGAGTGGTGAACCCCTCCTCATCTTTACTTCTGAAAGACTCCGCCTCTCTGAGATGCTCTTTTTATACCCAGTTACGTTACTGACCTGTTGCCAGTTTCACAGTTTCAACCTTTGATATGTTGTCTTTGTACTATTTTCAATTAAATATATGGTTTAAATCATTTGCACATCATTGCATTGTTTTCATTTACATTTTGCACAGCCTCCCAACTTTTTTGGAAATGGGGTTGTAGTATTTTAGTGCAGTACTTTCATACTGCAGATCTGTATTTATTACTCACTTTTCCTGTTGTGTTGTAATACTACAGTCCCCCCAGTGTAGGGGTCTGAATGATATTCCAGATTCAATGCGCCTCTTAAAGCAACAACCTTCCCACTATTCATGCCATTTTCCCTGCACTGCTCACATTTATGCACTAATTTATACTGTGTTACTGCACTGTTAATGTAGAAAGAGAGGTGTGATTTACCCAGGACTGCCACGTCTCTGGTAGCTGGCAGGGCAGGGTGTGTCCAAACACTGGTAGCCCCCCCGTGTGTTAAAGCACATTTGGTTTGGTCCGCACTGAACCCTGTGTTCTGTACATTCATCAATATCTGCAAAAAAACATTTAGATTACATTAATATGTAAATTTTATGCCTGAGTTTATTCTTCACATCAAAGATTATAATAATATTTACAGAATTGTGTGGAGCCATAAGTGTGAACTGAGCAAACTTACAATTAATACAGTTAATATACACTTTATATGAATTACATCAATTAATACTTCATACTAGGAAAACTTCATAATTAATATATTGAGGAATAAATGATTTAGTCATATGCCAGCTAGCAGGGAACGTTCCCCTCACTTTGGCTAACGCTCCCTACAAGTTGTAATAATGTTGGTAACACTTTCTATTAATGTCACGTTTGTAAGCATCTATAAACACATTTATAACATGCTATAATGCATTCATATGGCATTATAAACACGATTATAAACATTTATAAAAATGAATTACACTTTATAGCCATGTTTATAATACATTATGAATTGTTAATATAATGCATTTTAAGTAGTGTCGATAACATGTTATACTGTCAGTGCCAATGAAGTCAGTCCCAGCTTGGAGAGTGTAAAGCAAAGACAAATACCAAGCTAACGGTGGTGTACACTGACTTCCCCATGTTGGGTAAAACACATTTGACATTTGAAGCCTGTAATGTGCTTTATTGTGTATGTTTTAGTGTTTCAGTAAATCCTTCAGTAAATACTTCAACTTGAAGCCTCACTCTGAACACTGGAGGAGGCTTTAGTACAGTGTGCTTTACTTTACTTAGAGCAGACAAATACCACTTATGAGCTCTTATAATTTGTTATGATTAGTGCTTATAATGTATTATGTTAACAATTCATAATGCATAATAAGCATGGCTATAACGTGTAATGCATTTTTATAAATATTTATAGCCATGTTTACAATGCCTTATGAATGCATTATAACATATTATGAATGTGTTTATAGATGCTTACAAAGGTGACATTCATAGAAAGTGTTACCATAATGTTTAAAGAAAACCTTTCAATTTAATGCTCAAAGAATGTTTCAAGGATGTTTATCATAAGGTTACATGTTTAACTGCAACACTCAGAGGATGTTTTGAAGACGCTGTCAGGGCCACAGATTATGTTATATGATGATGGTTTAGAGAACGTTCCCAGAATGTTCTTCTGGGAAAAAAGCTTCCTGCTGAAATCACTAATAGAACATGAGTAACATTCTAAAAACATTTTTAGAACAAAAGCTGTCGCTGGGATGACTCACCTTGGCAGCTTCGACCGTTGGATAAGAGCTGGTATCCTGAAGGACACAAACACTGGAAACTTCCGGCTGTGTTTCTACATTCATGCTGGCAGGGCTTTCTGAACACACATTCATCAACGTCTGCGCAGAAAGAAAAAATTTTTGAAACATATTAGGAGTGCTCAGACAAACCATCTGGCCCAGATCAATCCATGCTTTCCTTTTTTTAGCAGACCCTAGTGATTTTGTTCTGCTGTCTGCTGGGAAGTGATCCTGATCCTAAACCTAGTTGTAATCTGATGGTAAGTAAGCTTGATCCTAATCCTAATTTCTGCCTTTACATGACTGGCTGGATTCAGTGTAATGTGTTCACCCACCCACACAGGTGCCATCCTTGTTGGTGAAGCCTGGGGGGCAGCTGTTCCTTGGACCACGCAAGGGTCCCTGATGCTCAGTCTGGAACTGGGTCAGGAGTGGTCGGCCAAGAGTGGACACCAGCTGCGGCCTCAGTCTGGTCTGGAACCTGGTGCCATTGGTAACGATGCGCCCCCTCTCTAGACCAGCACAGGAACGGCCGTCACCAAGCAACACGGTGCCCGGTGGACACGCGCAACGGAAACTGCCCGGCACGTTCCGACACTGATAGGCACAGGGGCTGGGTGTCTGGACACATTCATCAATGTCTGACCAGTAGAAAGAGGTCTTAGAACTTAGCACATAGTTTAGACAGTGATGCTCAGAACATTTACGAACTAAATTAGTTGCAGGTAAATGTATAAAATAATGCTGCGGATCTACAGCTTGAAGGACATGATTCATTAGTATAATAATTAGTATGAAGCTGTAAATAAAGATGCAGAAATGTTAGATCTGTACAGAATGACTCACATCTTAAGACAGATAATAAAACAATATGCAATAAACAATAAAAAAATACTGCATTTTGTTTAACATGTAAAAAAGTCTTGTTATTATAAAACCACTCCGGAAAGTGTGAATTAAACAACAACACAATAGCTTGTGTTTTCCATTTTAACACTTTTGGTGTCACACTGTTTTCTGATTTAACACATTCTATGTTAAAAGTAGCCCTGTGATGGACCGGCGACCTGTCCAGGGTGTTTCCTGCCTTTCACCCAATGACCGCTGGGATATGTTCCAGCTCCCCCCTCGCGACCCAGAATGACAAGTGGCTTAGAAAATGTGCATGTGTGTGTTAAAAGTAACACAAAATGTGTTGTTTCCAGCTGAACACACTGATGTGTCCAGTTAGAGACAGTGTGATGTGACGTGTGCGTTTTTATATATTTTTTATTATATTTATTGATCTCACCTGCACACGGTCGGCCGACACCCTGAGAGCGGAAGCCCCTCGGACACACACACGCGTACCCGCCGAGTGTGTTCTGGCAGATCTGACTGTACCGACAAGCGTGGCTGCCGTCTTCACACTCGTCTACATCTACAATTCAACAAACACAAGATACAATACCAATCACGGTAATCAGTAATCAATAATAATAAATAACAACTATAATAAATCTCACCTGTGCACACGCCACTCTCCGACTGCATCATTCCTGCTGGACAACTTTCAAAACACTGATATCCTCCATCTGTGTTTCTGCACTGCTGATTAACTGGACACACACTCTGCAAACACTCATTTACATCTGAGACACACACACACACACACACACACACACACACACACACACACACAGCAGTTCAAATGAAAGAAATGATAATGCAGATTATTTGGTTAAAAAAATAACCAGCAGTTCAGACAAACTTTCTTTCTGGATTCTTCTGATGACCCTTAAAAAGATCCACAGAGAAACTGACCGAGGCATCGATGTCCCACCAGCTGATAGCCTGGACGGCAGGCGCAGCGGAAGGAGCCAAGTGTGTTGAAGCAGTGATGCTGGCAGGGAGAGACTGAAGACTCCTGGCACTCATCCACGTCTAATAATAATAATAATAATAATAATAATGATAATAATAATGATAATAATAATAAAATTTACTTCTTTACTGTCCTCCTCAGTCAGCATCGTTCATTTAAGAGGAATAGAGCGTTTTCCAGTAAAGGTCTCGCTCACCTTCACAGCTGCTGCCGGCCGAGCTGGGTTTGAATCCAGGGCCACACTGTGCCTGACAGCGGTACCGGCCGACTGTGTTCACACACTGCTGATTTGAGTGGCACATGTGTGATCCTTCAGCGCACTCGTCTATATCTGAGACAAACAGACATTATTATGTTACAAAACTATCCAATAAACATGCAGCACAGTGAAAAAGTCTTAGTCAATCTGAGAAAACCGGCTGTGTTGTGCATTTTGTGCCTCTTTTCTATTATCATTTTTATTGGTTGGATTTTGTAGTTATTTGTTGTTCTATTCTTGATGATCTTTTTTACTCTTCTCTCTTACTTGTTTTTACTGTAAAACATATTGTGCTTCATTTAATGTACAAAAGGTGCTACATAAAGACTATTATTGTTATTATTATTATTATTATTGCTATTATTATTGTTGTTGTTATTATTATTATTATTATTTATTATTATTATTATAGTGGACACAGAGGTCTGAATGCAGTGCACAGAAACAGGCTTTTCATAGGGAACCTACATTCATCATCAAGTTCAATTTATTGTTCATTTTATAGTTTTATAGTTTTTACAACTACAAACCTCAAGAAAACAAAGGCTTAAATCGTACATGTTGAAGACACAGTGATTTAGCACTGCTTGCATAAGATCAAACAGCCCTAAATTTCGCCCCAGCATCATTAAAAATAAGAGTAAAAAGTTGTTTTTGTTTTTTGTTTTTTTGTCTCTGATAAGTAAATGTTATGATCCACTTTCTCTCTTCTACTCTTCCCCAACGCCATGCAGTAGCACACACACACACACACACACACACAAACAAACACACACATGCACACAAACACTCTCACACACACACACCTACATACTCACACACGCACACACACAAACACACTCTCGATGTTTTTTTACCTAGCAAGCTAATGTTGCAAGTTGTCAATCAACTGTCCACTGTTTGAATTTGAGTGAGAGAAGTGGGCTGTTGTGCCACTGGTATTAAAGCCAAGGTGCTAGACTAGTACTGTCTGTATGCGTATCAGCTAATTAATGTTATAGAATAATAGAAGATATGATGAGAAAAAGAACTGGGGGGGTGCAGGGGGCGGGGGGTGGTCTCTTATCTTAGAATCGTTAGGTCACTTAGCTACATTCACCTAGAAGAACAAAACTGACCAATAAAGTGAATCAGCGACTTGACTAATATTGCTTAAGAAAAACATGATAGTGGTTTTAACCTTTTCGAGTCTTGGGCTGTTTTGGCCGTTTTTGTTTACTGTACCAGTGTTTGGTTGCTTTTTTTCAGCATTACATCACCAACATAACCTGACAATTTATATTTTTATTTTTTTGACAAACTGTATTAACATAGTGGACCCACAAAATGCTGAAAACACATAATATCGGATTTAAAAAAATTGTATAAAAAATAAAATATGCTCAATGAAGCATTTTAAAGACTGAAAATGTAAACACAGGTTGCAAATGTTAACACATTTGTGAGGTTCCTTTTTTGTCCACTTGGTGGCAGCATTGGCAGGTCCTGCAACCTTGTGTGGCATCTGTAATTGTGGCAGTGGCACCAGCCTGTCCCATACTTTATTACATAAAAAATGTGACTTTTATATCAAATTTAAATTATTGCTGCTTTTACTTCTGTCAACACAAAACCAGTGTAGTGCTTCACGTCAGCGCTTTTGACCAAAGTTGACGGCAAAGCTCAATGTGACTTCCTTTTAATGCTGTGACGTCTTGAACGAGCCACGTGATTTGATCACATAACGCCGTGATCGGTGACTCTGGCGGGGTGAACTGCATTTGAGCAACATGTTATAGCAGCCTAAACATATTAGTCTATCCAAAACACATTCAATAACTAGAACTCCTCCCAGTACAACCCCTCCCCATGCAGGTCGTCACTAGGCGTGTGATCTGTGTCTGTAAGGAACGTAATCATGGAGGACGAAACAAAATGCTTAATATCAACATGGACAGAAACGACTGTACAAAACACATTGCAGACGACTTCATAAACGGCTATTCACTGTTTGCTGTGCAATGAGCTCATTTGCATATTCCGTCCCACAATCAGATTTCAGTCCGACTAACCGGAGACACATTTGACTACCAAGTGTAAATGCATGCAGATGAACACAGGAAGTGACCAGGTGTAAAAGGGGTCTTGGTGTTGCTCTTTAATGAAATTCTCTGTGTTTGAAAAGTGATGCTGAGAAGGTGAGCAGACCTTGGCAGGTGTTGGAGTGGGTGGAGATGCTGAAGCCAGAGGGGCAGGTGCAGGTAAAGCCGCCCATGATGTTGGTGCAGGAGTGAGAACAGCCAGAGTCCACAGCGCATTCGTCCTCATCTGAAACAGCAGCAACCAGCAAAACTCATCATTAAGACACAACACCTCAAATAAATCCTGCACTAGAAGATCAGCTTTGTCTTTGTAGTTTGAGCTCAGTTTTCAGTTCTCCAAAAAAAAGCGTTCTATATAGTACACACTTAAAAGTGATGCTTCTTCAAGGGTTCTTTAGTAAAGAAAACAGTTCTATACAGAACCATGAACACTCAAAGAACCCATTTGCATGATTAAACAGTTCCTCAGATTGATGAAGAACATGCTGTAGATGGCTCTATATGGAACCTTTTTGAAAAGGGTTCTATATAACGCTGCAGCCAGAGTTCTTACTAGAACCCGAAAGTTTGACCATATCAGCCCAGTTTTATCAACCTTACACTGGTTACCAGTTAAATTTCGCATTGATTATAAAATTCTCTTACTGACCTATAAAGCTCTAAACGGACTCGCCCCTCAGTACCTGAGTGAACTTCTCTCTCACTATGAACCATCACGCCCACTTAGATCACAAGGTGCTGCTCACTATTAGTACCTAGAATTAATAAAGTTACGCCAGGGGGCGGAGCTTCTCATACAAAGCCCCCCAGCTTTGGAATAATCTTCCTGTTAATGTTCGGGACTCGTTTAGTTTTCCCTGTCAGTTCTATACCTGCCAGAGTCTCTGCTGCTCTGCTAACACTTTAATCTGTAATCAGTCACCCATTACAGAACTGACTCTCAGTGTGTTTTTCCTTTCTTTCTTTCCTTTGCCGAGTTGAACAGCTGCCCATCCTGTGCGTCTGATGCTGCTGCCTCTTCTGCCTTGATTGGGTGCCACTGCTCGCCAGCCCTCAGGACCGGCTTGACCACCATCAGGCTCCATGCTGTACCACGCCATGCGAACCTCACCCTCACAACCTGACCCTACCGATGCTGCTGCTGCTGCTGCTGCATGAACTAAACTAATCAAATTAATCATTTGCTCCACCTGTTTTCCCTGTTTTTGTACAATGTTTACTATCCGGTGTCGACCAGAGGAGGATGGGTTCCCCTTCTGAGTCTTGGTTCCTCTCAAGGTTTCTTCCTGTTTCCTAGGGAGTTTTTCCTTGCCACTGTCGCCACTGGCGACGCTCATGGGGGCCTGAACCTGGATTTCTTTCTGTAATGCTGATTTCCTTGTAAAGCTGCTTTGTGACAACACCTGTTATAAAAGTGCCATATAAATAAACTTTGCTTGCTTACTTACTATATAACACAATAGAAGAATCCTTTTTGGTGCTAAATAGAATGTTTTTCAAGAAGGTTCCATATAGAACCATCTACACCCACTTAATCATGCAAAGTGCTCTTTGATTGTTCACAGTTCATTTATAAAACTATTTTTTTTAAATTAAAGAACCCTTAAAGAACCTTAAAGAATCTTTCTTATAAGTGTAGCCTACCAGCACAGTATGAGGCCGTGTCCAAGACGAATCCTTTTGGGCATGTGTCTCCACCCCCCTCTGCAGAGAAAAACATCCACAGGTGTTACGGAGCTTCAATACAGCGTCTGAGAATATAAGCTTCACACTCCGCCTCCTGACTGTCTCTCATTCTCTGACCTGGCACGACCAGTGATGCGGTCATCTGGAATTGGAGGCTAAGGCTAAACAGACTGTAGGTCCCGCTGATGTCTGTCAGTCTGAGGAGCTGCAGCAGTGCCCCCTGGCGCTCTGCAGGACCTTCGTACAGCAGCGAGTGATTACAGCGCAGGGTCACTGGGACGCCGTCCTGCAGGTGGTTTTGAGAGGACCAGGCGTAGAGCTGCCCGGAGCCTGTCTGAACGTATGACTCATCAAAGTCCTGAAAAAGACACACTTTCTTTAGGCTCAGTTCAGAGGACAGAAAGGAGCTTAACTGATTCCAGGTATTTAATTCAGATTGAAGTCAAACCTGAAGACTGAGCCGAGAAGATGACAGTGACGGTGGAATAAAACCATTGATGACCATGTCCACCAGCAGGACACCCTCTGCATCCACTCCTCTGGCCACATGTGTCAATTTTAGGATCTCACCTACAAAGATGTACACACAACACATGGTAAATGGTCTATTTACACAAAAAATACAGAAAGATATTTAACGTAACTGAATTTTATATTTCTATATGAAATCGACACTCATTTATGAACTCCAGAGCTCTCACCGGTGTCAAACTCCAGCTGAGACTCCTGTCTGAAGCGACCCTGACTGACAGAGAACCCGTTTCGTGTTTCTGCTGTCTGGAACACGGTAGTCCAGTAGACGGGAGCAAATACAGACACAAGAACTCGCATCAGAGGGCCTGCAACACAAGAAACTCACTCTTCAAAATCTTAATTACACTTTTTAAAAATATGGTCCTTCAAGGGTTCTTTGGTAAAGAAAATGGTTTTAAATAGAACAATGAACATTCAAACAACCTTTTGCAAATTTAAAGGTTTCTTTACATGGTCAAGTGGTTCTTTAGATTCATGGAGAATGCGCCTTAGGTGGCTCTATATAAAATATTGTATGAAAAGAGTTCTATATAGCACCAAAAAGGGTTCTGCTATTGCTACAGGCTTGATATTGTATGATATACAGCACATTGTCCATTAATCTGAAGAACGATTTCACTATGCAGAGAACCATTTAATCATGCAAAGGGTTCTTTGAGTGTTGAGTGTAAATTTGCATGTTGGTCAACTTGAAAACAAAAAAGTTAAATGGGAAATGAAAAGTAAATCACCAGCAGATGGCGCATGTGTTTCCATTTGCTTTTTCACTTTGACACTTAAAGCGCGTCTGTGTAGAAAACTGAATCACAAAGTCACTTTGCTGTTGATTTATCCATTTTACATTTTCATTTTGTCAGATATGCAGCCTGTTGCTATGAAAAAGAAATAAGAATGTAAACAATGCATTTTGATTTGATTTTCATGAAGAAAAGCCAAAGCCAAAGTGAAGCTTGGATTTTCTCTATTAGCTTTTCCACGTTACATATGGCCATGAAATACCAGAATAATGACTAAAATGAAATGACAAATAGCTGTTTTACATTTATTTTTATTTTTGCCACTAATGACTCATGCTTATGTGAAAAATTAAACTGCAGATGTAGGTGTTTTATTTCATTTTCAATTTTGGAAGGATATTTGTACAGATGTTTGGAAAGAGAAATGGAAAAAAAGAGGTTTGCATTTACATTTTATTGTTTTAATTTGAATTTCTTTTTTGGCCAGATTTGTCTCCCATACCAGAAGACGTTTCTCGATAGCTTTTTAATTTTGTTTACCATAATGTAGTTTTAAAGTTTCTTAAAACTACATAAACATGTCCCACAGCGTTCTTCCCCCGTTCTAATAAGACCTGAAGGAAAATGCCTGAGCGAATGCTCCATGAGTTTGTTTGAAAGCTTATCTGTTTTTTTTTTTTATTTGTTTGCTGTTTTTTTAAGTATTTTTATTATTTCTGATCTGTCACTTACCCACACTGGGGGGGATGTTGTCCACATGGGCTTGCAGGGTGCTGGTGCCCTGCTCCGAGTTTTCGGTGATGTTGACCTCGAGGAAAGCCACTCCAAACTCTTGATCATTTACTTTCCCTATCAGACTGCCTCGGGCCCTCCGAGGGGTCTCGCCTACAACAGGAGTAGAGACAATTTTATTTTATATTAAAATTAAAATAAAACAAAAAAATTCTCAATTTTCTCCCCAATTTGACCGATTAGCTGGGCCTCCACCAATCATATGATACTACCAAGCCTACATTCTTAAAAAGATGGTTCTTCAAGGGTTCTTAAGAAAATGGTTCTATAAAGAACAATGAACTTTCAAAAACCTTTTTCTTTGCATCATGAAAGGATTCATCAGAATGTGCTGTAGATGGTTCTATTTAGAACATTTTTGAAAAGGGTTCTATAGCACCCAAAGGGGTTCTTCTACTGTTATGATGTCAAGCTTGTAACAACAGAAGAACCCTTCTGGGTACTATACAGAACGCTTTTCAAAAAGGTTCTATATAGAACCATCTACAGCACCCCTTCATGATGCAAAGAAACCATCTCTTTTAAGAGTGTAGTATGTGCTTCCTCTGAGACGTGATGCTCCAACACATTTTCCAAACTGCTGCTAGGAGGACATTAACTGCTAATTCTGTTCAGATGCCCATGTTATTCTGTCTTGGACTCTTGGCTAAGGATGGCTGTGGCATCACCAGGGATCAAACTCATGATCAGATTAGAGCCCATTAGACTAGATTAATAAGCTGTTGCTTAAATCAATAAAAGGTAACCTGAACATAACGATGTCTGGCATTCCCTAATGTCCACATTTGGACCTTCGCAAGGTGGGCCTCCGTTGGCTGGTAGCGGGTTGGTGCACGATCTGAATCGCTCCTGGATGCCCCGCCCACAGGTGACACTGCACGGCCCCCAGTCTTCCCAGTTTGAGAATCCTCCTGGAACTACAGTTATGATTTGTTCAATAAACTTACAGTGGAGATTTTGAACATACAACACTGTAATGATACCAAAACAATAGTTTTGAGCTCTTCTTTTCGGTATTTCTGACTGACGTCTCTTCAGTCAGTCAGAAAACAATAAACAATAAGGGTAATGTGTGGTTGCATGGACAAAGTGACAGTGTATTGTACAATATTAGTGAAAACAAATAAACAAAATACACAAAGTGTCAATGCAGTATCAGATACGATAAACAAAGTAAACAAAGTGGCAGTGTAATATGAGTGGCGCAGTGCACAATAATGTCCCGGCACAGTGATGAGGTGTTGTACAGTTTGATCGCTGTTAGTACGAATGAGCTCCTGTACCGTTCCTCAGTTTGTTGAGCTTTTTTGCGTCTCCTCCTCTGATGCTGTCTCCCCAGCAGACTGCTGCAAAGAACACAGCACCCGCAACAACAGACTGGTAGAAGATCTCCAACATCTTGGTGCACACATTAAAGGACCTGAGCCTTCTCAGAACGTAGAAGTTCCTGTACACAGCCTCTGTGTTGGCCCTCCAGTCTAGTTTGCTGTCAAGCAAGACATCCAGATATGTGTAAGTGTCTACCAGCTCAAAGTTCTGACCTATGATGGTAATGGGACTGATTGTGGTCCTCTTCCTTCTGAAGTCTACCCCCCTCTCCTTGGTCTTGGTCACACTGAGGATCAGGTGGTTCCTCGTACACCACTCAACAAAGCTTTCTGGTCGATTGTGGGTCAATTGAGGCAGGTACATGAAAGTTGCTTGGAGGAACAAAAATGTCTTTACAATACTATAACATTATGTCTTTGAACGTGAACGGGTTAAACAATCCCATTAAAAGGAGCAAAATGATTACGAAGCTGAAAAGGGAGAAAGTCAACATAGCCTTTTGGCAAGAAGCACATTTATCATCTATTTAACATGAGAAATTAAAAAAAAAAAAGGGCTTTCGTAATACTTTTTTTTCCTCATTTAAATCAGAGAAAAAGAGGAGAGTTGCAATATCAATACCCAATTCAATTAGTTTTGAGTTAATTTCTGAAGTAAAAGATAAAAAAGGTAGATATGTTTTAATCACAGGTACACTTTTAAATATTTATGCCCCCCAGGATGCAATACAGCCTTCTTTAAGAAAATATTTGACTTACTAGTATCTAAAGCTCAAGGCACCCTTATTTGTGGTGGAGACTGGAATATGCTATTGAATCCTAGATTAGATACTACCAATAAAATGAGGAAAAAGAACTCTGTAGAGATCCAGATGAATAATATGCTCCAAGATCTGGGCCTAATGGATGTATGGCGAGATATGAATGGAAAAAAAATAGATTTTACTTTCTATTCTGCACGTCATAATATACACTCCAGAATCGATTATTTCTTAATGTTTTCAAAGGACTGTCATAGAATGAAGAGCTGCAGTATAGGTCCTAGGGACCTATCAGATCACTCTAGTTTATATTTAAAATTACATCTTGGTGGAACTCCCAAGAAAACCCTGTGGAGGTTAAACACGGGAATGCTAAATGATACTAAATTCAAGGCCACAATGGCAGATGAATTGAAGTCCTTTTTAATTCATAATAACAATGGAGAGGTCAGTCCAACTGTATTGTGGGATGCAGCCAAAGCCTTTCTTAGAGGGAAAATTATCGCTCAAACAGCTTTTATTAAAAAGTTAAAAACTCAAAAACTGCAGAATTTGGAAGATAAACTTAGAGACCTGGAACGGCTTCATAGTTTAACTCAAGACCCATCTGTCCTCCAACAAATGAGACCAATTAAACAAGAAATATCTAAAATTCATAGTGAAGAGATTGAAAAGAAAATAAGATATATGAAACAAAGATTTTATGAGGCGGGATCAAAAGCAGCAAAATTATTAGCCTGGAGGATTCGTAAGCAACAAGCAGATAGCTTAATTTATAAAGTTAGAGACCCTGTAACAAATAAAATAAGAACGAAATTAGAAGGTATCCACAAATCTTTTGAAACATATTATAAATTATTGTATACTCAACCAGAGAAAGCCAGCGAACAGAATATAGAACAATTTTTAAAATCATTAGATCTCCCCTCTCTGGGTAAACAGCATAATGATGAATTAATTTCTGAAATTTCAAAAGAAGAAATTGATGCAGCAATATCGGCCCTCAGTGTAGGAAAACTGGCAGGCACGGATGGATATCCGCCAGAGTGGTACAAGTTGATGAGAGAATCCTTGCTTCCTTTACTTGAAACTTGTTTTAATTACACTATGAGGGAGGGGTCTCTTCCTCCTTCGTGGAATGAGGCCATTATCTCCGTAATAGCAAAGGAGGGTAAGGACAGGATGGACTGTAGGTCTTATAGACCAATAAGTGTTCTCAATGTAGATTATAAATTGTATGCATCAATTTTGGCCAAAAGGATAAAGAAGTTGATGCCTTTTTTGATAGATGAGGATCAAACCGTACAACAAACAGACAAACCCCACGATAATATAAGGAGAGCCATTCATGTTATTGACAGTTTAGGGAATGGGACACACATATTTCTAGGTTTATCTGGAACAAAAAGAGGCCTCGAGTAAAATATTCTACTTTGATGCTGCCGAGAGAGAAGGGAGGCATGGCGCTTCCGTGCTTAAAGGATTATTATGTTGCTGCTCAACTAAGACCACTTGTACTTTGGTGCAATCCAACCTATGAAGCGAAATGGAAGAATATAGAATTTTCACTAATGGATATTCCAATACAGTCAGTTTTAGGCTGTCTTGATAGGACTAAGGAATTATTGCAAATACAGAATCAATGGGTTAGTTTTTCCTTTAAAATCTGGCTTGAGGTGATTAAAAGACTCCAGCTTCATAGAGAAATTAAAGTACTGAGTCGGCCAGCTTATAACCCACATTTTACTCCAGCGTTGTATGATTATAGGTACAGACAGTGGTCTATAGGTGGTATTACTGCCCTCTGTAGAGTGCTGTCAAATGGGGAATTTGACAGTTTCCAGAAATTATGCGACTCATTTGACCTTGGCAAACAGGATTTTTTTTAGATAATTACAGATCCGTCACTTCTATATGAAAGAGGTTAAAGGCCCCAACCCGGTTCCTTTCTCAGGACTGACTCAGTTTTTTATGGAAGCATATAGGGGTGAAGGAAATAAAGGGGTTATTGGCAAATTGTACAAAACCATTTGTTTAATGAATAAAAATTCTACTAATTATGTGAGACGTCGATGGGAGCAAGATACACAGGAAAAGATAACAGAGGAAGTATGGTCACGAGTATGGGAAAACCATTGTACTTCCACTAATTCATTGATTTGGAGGGATTTTTGCTGGAAGAGTCTGATCAGATTTTTTATAACGCCCAAACTCAAATTAAGGTTAACTGGGGCCCACTTCCCCTGCTGGAGGGAGTGTGGGGCAATGGACATAGACCATGCACATGTAGTATGGTGTTGCCCAAAAATTCAATCCTTTTGGATTAATATGGGGAGAATTATTTCCGACATCTTGGGTTTTAATGTGGAGGTGTCATTTAGCTCTATGTATCTTGGTGTAACCCCTGAAGGGTTAAGTAAGAGTCATTGCTACTTATTGAATATATTTCTGGTCGCTTATAAGAAAGCTATTACTAAGTGCTGGCTCAGAAGAAACCCCCCAACTGTGGACCTTTTTGTTGAAATTGTTACTTATATTCGCTCCATGGAAATGTTGACTTACTCCGTACGTCTTCAAAAGGAGAGAGGGAAAAAAACTGGATGAAATGGGATTGCTACACCCGAGTAAGCGTGGTGACCTTTGACTCTGATCATTCTGCCTTTTGTATGTAAACAGAGATTGTTGTTGAGTTTTATGTTTAAAATGTTGTACCTGTAAACCTCAGACTTTAAATAAGATCTCACGTACCTTTGTTTTTTTTTTTTCTGCCACCTCTTTTGTATTTTACGGATATGAATGTGAATTTGCACAAAACAAAAACAAAAAATTAAGTTAAAAAAAAAAAAAGAGTTTACTGTGTACTGGAGCCCAGGTGGTGGAACAAACTCCCATTGGCTGTCCGGACAGCAGAGTCTCTCGTGGTCTTCAAACAAAGACTGAAGACTGTCTCTTTATACAGAATTTAAATGAGCACTGAGTTAAGTACTTATCATGAAGTATTGTACTGCACTTATTGAACTGTACTGCACTGCGCTGTATTTGTAACTAGCAACGATACTTTCTCCAGATAGACAAAGCACTTTTTGTAAGTCGCTCTGGATTAGAGTGTCTGCTAAATGCTGTAAATGTTCTGATATCTTCTCACCTTGAACTTTTAGAGAGATGGTCCTCTCTGCAACACCAGCCTCACTTTCAGCCACACAGCGGTACACTCCTGAGTCCCCACTCTGATACACAAACACATACAGCCAATAACACATCAAATATCCATACACAGATCATCACATTCCAAAAGGTCCACAGTAACACAGTGTAATCTGTAAATAATTAGACAGTTACTGTGGACACTGGCGTCTGTAAATAAACACTGAGCCTGACCTTAAAGAACAGACCATCAACTTTAGTTTAAAGGATTATACAGGACAGTGTGTCTGAATCAGGTGAACCGTATTGGTGGTTTAACACACAGTCATCACATTTAAAGGCCTCACAAACTGTCCAGTTTGCGTTTTTCCAGTTGTGTCTCTGCATTATTATTCGTTAGTGCACAAGAGCGAACAAATGGGATTCTAGATGCCTCATTGGCACCCTGTGTCTGTTCAACATGCGCAGCAGAGAAGCAGTGCAGCAAAGCTGACCTTTAAAATCAGAAAACAAAAGTCACAAACAGCCAAAACATTTAGTCAAATCAGCTGCCTGACACAATCATAAAAAACTCAAGAATCACTGGTGAGTTTGAAAAGTCAGAAATGAACAAACTTGATTTCTGGAGCTTGAAGGATGGATGAGAAATAAACTGCACCAGTGTGATGGAAAGCAAGGAAGGAGGCATGGAGAAAAGGAGGAGCTACTCATGGTCCAAAGTAAACCATGCGTGTTGTAAAATGTGGTTTGTGGGTGGAAACGGATCACTCTTTACAGATGTCTGTGGAACGTGAAGCACTATTAAAAATCAACTGTAGAACTACTTTACATTTAATATTTTCCAATACAGATGTATATCCAATAAAACACAGTCATCACTTTTTTTTAAATAAAGTGTCCTGGAATCACAACAGCTAGCAAAAAGCTGTATACCTGCTAAAGGACTGTATTTATTTTCTGGATTATAACGACAAAATATGTCCTGTAAAACTACTATTTATGTCACTCTAACTGGATATGAAGAGATTCTGACCACCCTAAGTACCCAGAGGATCAGGCCTACAGAGAGGTTTCTTACTGATAGTATTCTGATGACATCATAGTCACACTGCCACCATTTTGGTAGGCTACACCAAGTTCACTAAGCAGTGCTGTGTCTGTTTATAATGACATGAAGCCATAACTGATCCAGAAAAGGCAGTAAAACGTTACTGTTTTGGATCACTTTTTAAATTTCATTTTTAAGGTGTATTAACTGATACATTTTTTTGTCTTGATTTTATTTGATTTCATGCTGTATTGATAACAAATGAAAGCTGAAATCTTAATGGCTGAGATTTCCTGCTGCATTACTAGCGCAGAAACCAAACCGCATACTAGCTCACTAAATAGTGCGTAAAAACAGTGCATATCCCATTAGATGTGCACTCATTAGTGCAGCAGGTGAAGTACAGAAGTGTGTGGTTTGGGATGCGGCGTTAAATCAGCCAGTAAGACGTGATCAACAACTGTGCTGCTTGTCAGCTGCTCATTAAACACCTCCAAGAGAAAGTTTGAGGGGTTTGTTGATTAAGAAGCATTTATTAAGGTAAATTAATATATTTATTGAGGTCTTAATTCATTCCCAGTTTAAGGCACCTCAGTGTAACTGCAGCTCCATTTAAGGTGGAACTGAAAATTCAGATGAGAAGCTGCTGAATAAGCTTCACTCACTTATCCAAATCATTGAATTCAGAAGTTCCAATCACTTCCATGGCCACAGGTGTATAAAACCAAGCCCCTAGGCCTGCAGACTGCTTCTACAGACATTAGTGAAAGAATGGGTCGCTCTCAGGAGCTCAGTGAACTCCAGCGTGGTACCAAGATAGGATGCCACCTGTGCAACGAGTCCAGTCGTGAAATTTCCTCACTACTAAATATTCCACAGTCAACTGTCAGTGGTGTTATAACAAAGTGGAAGCGATTGGCAACGACAGCAACTCAGCCACGAAGTGGTCGGCCACATAAAATGACAGAGCGGGGTCAGCGGATGCTGAGGCGCATAGTGCGCAGAGGTCGCCAACTTTCTGCAGAGTCAATCGCTACAGACCTCCAAACTTCATGTGGCCTTCAGATCAGCGGAGAGAGCTTCATGGAATTGGTTTCCATGGCCAAGCAGCTGCAACCAAGCCTTACATCACCAAGCGCAGTGCAAAGCATCGAATGCAGTGGTGTAAAGCGCCGCCACTGGACTCTAGAGCAGTGGAGATGTGCTCTCTGGAGTGACCAATCACGCTTCTCTGTCTGGCAGTCCGATGGACGAGTCTGGGTTTGGTGGTTGCCAGGAAACGGTACTTGTCTGACTGCATTGTGCCGAGTGTAAAGTTTGGTGGAGGGGGGATTATGGTGTGGGGGTGTTTTTCAGGAGTTGGGCTCGGCCCCTTAGTTCCAGTGAAAGGAGCTCTTAATGCTTCAGTACCAAGAGATTTTGGACAATTTCATACTCCCAACTTTGTGGGAACAGTTTGGGGACGGCCCCTTCCTGTTCCAACATGACTGCGCACCAGTGCACAAAGCAAGGTCCATAAAGACATGGATGAGAGAGTTTGGTGTGGAAGAACTTGACTGGCCTGCATAGAGTCCTGACCTCAACCCGACAGAACACCTTTGGGATGAATTAGAGCAGAGACTGCAAGCCAGGCCTTCTCGTCCAACATCAGTGTCTGACCTCACAAATGCGCTTCTGAAAGAATGGTCAAAAATTCCCATAAACACTGCTAAACCTTGTGGAAAGCCTTCCCAGAAGAGTTGAAGCTGTTATAACTGCAAAGGGTGGGCCGACATCATATTAAACCCTATGGATTAAGAATGGGATGTCACTCAAGTTCATATGCGTGTGATACTTTTGGCAATATAGTGTATCTGTGCATGAGTTTATTATTTAAGAGATTTGGCAGTTTTGGAGCCACTTTTATTAGTTTTTATAAAATCTCACACTGGAATGTTCTGAACTCTGGAAATGTGCAAGTTATACAGATCCACCAATCAGCTGATCTCCTCGTAGTGTTTCTGGAGACAAATCTAAAGTGACCACATATCTGTTCATGTGTTTGTGGTCATTCTGGTCTGTTGTGTTGGTGTTTATCCTCCTGCAGGGCTGTATCTGCAGTAACGGTGATGAGCTGAGCTCCATCAGACCAGTTACAGCTACAGCTCACCTACCAACATGGAAATGGGGTCTACTTAATGGCATAATCGAATACTAAGAATTGTTGTCATGGTTACCATGGCACCGTATATAGCCAGAGAGCCATTGCGAAGAGGGTGTAAACGCTCAGAACCCAGCAGAGGGCTATCGTCTTTGTGCCATCGTAGCACTGGAACTGGGTTTCCTTTTACAGGACAGTCCAACACGGCCAACCCACCACGGGACACCGTCTGAGACAGGTGGGCCTCACCTCTCAGTATAGGGGGCTCTGCAGAGAAAGAGAGAGAGAGAGCAGTTTTAAACCCTTTGATATACTCACTGACTCACTCACCCACTTTATTAGCTCTCAATAAGAATCCCTTTTTCTTTTGATTCAACCAGGTGCTGGAAACATTCCTTAGAGTTTGTTGTGCATGTTTTCTTCAGCATCATGAAATTCTTAGATTTATCAGCTGTACATTCTTGCTACTAATCTACTTTTGTACCATATTCTTCTAAAGATGTTCTCCTAAACTAAAGGGGGCAGTCATGTGCTGCAGGTTAGGGAACCAGCCCTGTGACCGGAAGGTCACCGGTTCGATCCCCTGAGCCCACAATACGTGACTGAGGTGCCCTTGATCAAGACACCTAACCCAACTGCTCCCCAGGGCTCTGCGGATAGGGCTGCCCACCGCTCCGGGCAAGTATGCTCACTGCCCCCTAGTGTGTGTGTTCACTAGTGTGTATGTGGTGTTTCACGGATGGGTTAAATGCGGAGTAGCAAAATAGCAAATTCCGACTCTGCGTTCTACACGTCTCTGCAGAAATCGAGCTTAATCAGACCAGGCAATCAGATCTCAGTTTGAAATACTCAAACCACCACATCTGGCACCAGCACCCACCTCAAGTGAGCTTGCTTAGATCACATTTTCCCCGTTCTGACATCTTAGGTGAACATTACCTGAAGTTCTTGACTTGTGCCTGTATGAGTTTATGCACTGCCACTGTCAATGACTTTCTAATAGAGCATATATGTCTATATATGACTGTATATGTCTGTATTTAACACTGTAACAACACAGGATTATGATTGGATGATACATTCATGAAACATTACAGTTACAGTAATCGATGGTACATATCAAATGACTGTTTGTAAATCTCTTACCTGTGACACGGACGAACGAGAGAGCTTTAACGGTGCCAACGGCGTTTTCTGCAGCGCAAACGTAGGTACCAGCATCACCCACTGTTACGTTCTCAATCAGCAGAGAACTCCTACCAGACTCGTCTACAGTGGCACCTTCCCCAAACATCACAGAGCATTATTAGATCAGTCTGTCATTTCATGTGCTCATGATCAATTACGTGTTAAAAATCCAAGATTTCATGACAGTGGACGACAAAGCCAAATGGCACAGTTCAGCGATAAAACAAACACATCAAATTTTATGAAGGCATGTTAGAACGTATTAGCCCCAATCCTAAAACTGAACCTAAACCTAGCCTCTACCTGTGTAGGGGTGGCTGTTGACTGTCCATGTTACTGTGGGAGAAGGTGTCCCCTGAGCGTGGCAGGACAGGGTGAGACTCTGACCCACGTTCAGGGTCATGTCACCTGGTAACTCCTTGAAGGCTGGTCTCATGTTGACGGCCAGGTGGACACTGTGGTGAGCAGAGCCTGCAGGGTTGGTGGCTACACATGTAAACACACCGGCATCTCCAGGCTAAAAAAGAGGTGGTGTCACGTAAGGAGTTGAGGAACCGAAAGACCCTCATTTTTCACAAACAATCATGAACATACAAACTCATTCTAGGAGTGCTGACCTCTGCCCTTTCGATGATCAGCTCTCCTGACCAGAGCACAGTGAATTTGCCTGGCAGGTCGGATACTGCTGTACCATCCTTCTCCCACCGCACCTTCGGCTCTGGCAGACCCTGAGCCACACACGGCAGCAGTGCCTGGAAACCCTGGATAACTGACACCTCAGTCTGACCACCAGGAATTATGGGTGGTACTTTAACAAAGGAAAAACATCACCAAAGTTATTATTAGGTGCAAAATGGAACAGCGCAATGAAACATTCTAAGCACTGCAGACTAACCCTGTTTTATTTAGGTGCACAAATAAACAAAACAATGACATCAGTAATCAGATCCCTGATAAATGTTTTTTTGTTTTTTTCGGATGGGTCACTCATTCTCAGTGAGATCCAGCGTGTGAAAGGCTCAGTGCTGAGAGTGCAGCTCACCCTGTATAAATACCCGGACGTCTTGGCTGGCTCTACCCGCAGCATTCCTGGCTGAGCAGGTGTAGAGGCCGGCGTCGCTGCGCTGTGTAGCTGGTATGTGTAAGGTTCCATTGGAGAAGAGCTGCAGGTGGGTTCCTTCCACCACAGGCCGCCGCTCTCTGTGCCACACCACCTCCGGCCTGGGCTGCCCATCTGCCGCGCACTCTAGATTGACCGACTGGCCAACCACTACCATGTACTCTTGCAGCGGCACCGAGAGCACCGGAGGCACTATGGCGTAATAACACACAGTTACAAAAACGCATTACTCATTTTACACAATCAGGCCAAACACTCAGAATGTCGCTCTGTTTAAAATGAGGAATCTGCATGAAACCTTGAAGGATGAGGCGCGTTCTGCCAACAGCTGTACCCGCTGCGTTCTGTGCCAGGCACTGGTATGTGCCACCATCTCCCAGAGTGACCCGAGAGAACTTCAGAGCTCCGCTGGACAGCACTGCTAGTCTGTTACCTGGAATGAATTATAATTAATGAATCAATCCACCTTGTTTTTCAGTTTAGAAGTTCACTGAGGGAGACCCTCATTTACAGTGTAGCTGAGAAAATTAAACAGGGAAAAGCTAAAATGAAAACAAATGAAAATCAGTAAGACAAGAAGATTTATAACGAACAACAAAAAACATCAAAAAATAAATAAACAGAAAATAAATAAACAAAACACATTACAATTAAATAAAAGAACCAAATAATAAATAATAAGCAATAATAAAACTAAAAATCTTAGAAAGAAAATTAGAGAAAAGTAAAAACTAAATAATTAACATCGAATACAACCCCCTTTCCAAAAAGGTTGGGGCGCAGTGGAAAATGTAAATAAAAACAAAATGCAATGATGTGCAAATCATTAAAACCCTATATTTTATTGAAAATAATACAAAGACAACAAATCTAATGTTCAAACTGAGAATTTTTTTTTTGTTTCGAAAAATATTTGCCCATTTTGAATTTGATGCCAACAACACATTTCAAAAAAGTTGGGACGGGGGAACAAAAGGTTGGAAAAGTTGTGTAATGCTAAAAAAACACCTGGTGGTTGATTGGTAACAAGTCAGTAACATGATTGGGTATAAAGAGCATCCCAGAGAGGCGGAGTCTTTCAGAAGTAAAGATGAGGAGGGGTTCACCACTCTGTGAAAGACTGCACGATCAAACAGTGCAACAATAATGAATAATGTTTCTCAACATAAATTAGCAAAGATATTTTTCAACAAACAATAACATTTCTCAGTTTCAATATTTGATTTGTTGTCTTTGTACTATTTTCAATGTAATATACGGTTTAAATGATTTGTGTCACGCATCCCTCAGGCTCAGAGGGCTTTAGAGACTCCATTTCCCAGAATCCCCAGGGGATCACATGATTCTCAGCCCTCCATCTTGCTCCAATCACCGCTCTCTGTCGCCTGAGTACTAACTGGTTACACCTGTTCTGAGATAATTAGTTTAGTATAAAGCCTGGGCTTTTAGTCTAGTCCAGCGAGGCAGTGTGTCTTGTTCAAGAGCTACTGAGTGGTTTTCTTCTGTCTATTGTAATGTTTTCCCGTTTTGACTCTGGGCCTTTTTTTTCCTTTGCCCTTTGGACTTTGTTTGCCTTACTCTCTTTTTTTAACCGCAAGCGTCTGAGTTATTCTGCCTCGTTACAATTTGCGCATCATTGCACTTTGTTTTAATTTACATTTTTCACAGCGTCCCAACTTTTTTGGAAATAGGGTTGTAAAACATTTGCAACAAAACAGTGAGATAAAATTTAACAAAATTATTAAGTTAAATAAAAAAGAGAAGGAAAAGTTAAACTCAGCTGAAACAGTTCCAGCTCGTCTGAAGGTGGTCAGAGACTAAAAGTTTAAAATGATTAACTCCAGTAAGTGAGGTTTAGAGACTGTAGTGAACTGAACACAGTAGACTGGACACACACTGACCAATTTCTGTTAGTGTCTTAAGATCTCTGCAAACTTTCACTGCTTATGGGGCAACTGTCTTTATCACATTCACACCTGTTGCTATGGGAACACCCTCTCTTTGCCAGGTGACAGTGGGTCTGGGGAAGCCGAGGACTTCACAGGGCAGAATGGCCCCCTGATGAAGCACCACCTGCAATTCATCAGCCATTGGCCTGATCTCTGGAGGTTCTGAGGAAATAACACAAATAACAATGCAAAGAGTCAGCGGTCGTCTCTCCTGCAGCCCAATCAGACAAAAGCTCTGAAAATCGAATAAAATAAAATGAAGCACAACAAAATTATTGGGAAGAAAAAAGCAAATAAAAGACAATAATAAAATCATGATAAAATGAAATAAAAAGTAGAACTCAGCTGAAACTGTTCAAGTTTAAATGACTGAGTGAGTTTTAGAGGCTCCTGTAGTGAGTCCAGCAGATTTTCTCAGTTCAGTAAAAACTCTACAGGTGATCAACCACTACAGCAGGTCTGATAATCAGTCTTATTTATAGAGATCAGAGATAGTGCCTTACCGTGCACAGCGAGGGTGATGTGTTTGTGGGCCACTCCCACCGGGTTCCGGGCGGTGCAGGTGTATCTCCCAGCGTGGCTCAGGCTGGCTGACAGAACCTCCAGCACACCTACATTGCAGACACACAGTCTCTTACACAGAACACAGAAGCAGTGAAAAAGAGGAGAGGACAGTATGAATGGACAAGGTAGGTTCTCCGGTACCTGTGGGCAGGATCCTGTAACTGCCCCCTCGAGTGCCTAGCTGTGCCCCACTCTTGGTCCAGCTGATGGTGGGCTCTGGACTTCCTGTGGCGTGACAAGGCAGCACCACCGGAGACATTTTAATGGCTGTGACAGTGGTGACATCATCTTCAATGGAAGGTGGAACTTTGGAAGAAATAAATCATTAATGTAAACAATCATGGATTAATAATAACAATAATAATAATAATAATAATAATAACAACAATAATAATAATAATAATGATATTATTATTATTATTATTATTAATAATCTCTGAGCAGAGTTTTACATAAAAGCACAGATTCCAGGAAAAGTATTCACTATTATAACACACTTATTCTGAACACACTCTGGTGAGAGAAAACAGCAGTAAGAGTTACACATTATCGCACAGAAAAACAGATCCTGACACTCTGACCTCTCGGTCTCACTGCTGCATGTGTCTACAGAGTCTGCATGGCGCCTCAGTGAGAGCAGCAGCGCTTCACACTCTTAACTCTGAACATCCCTTCATACGAAAGTATTAAAAACAGCTTAACACACTGGGCCCCTCCCACTTCCTCCGTTATTTCCTATGAGAGAGGAAACCGAAGCAATGCTGCCCCTAGAGGTCCATGTGGTTAGTTACTGCATGCTGTGCATTCTGACTGCATCTTGTGTCAGGTATTCTGTGGCGAACTGGAGTCCTGTAAGCCATATTCGGCCAGGACTACATGTAGCTGAAGAGGGTAAAGTAATTATTACCAGCATTTCTCAGTGATTTTAGTCTGAATGCACCTTCACTCCTGCATCAGTAAAGATTCCAGCACCTTTTATCTTCTATAAAACGAGCCGTAAAAATAAGCTTAAGTTATATTAATCCTGTGTGAAACTCAAACATTAAAGCCTACTCTCTTTTTTTAACCGCAAGCGTCTGAGTTATTCTGCCTCGTTACAATTTGCGCATCATTGCACTTTGTTTTAATTTACATTTTTCACAGCGTCCCAACTTTTTTGGAAATAGGGTTGTAAAACATTTGCAACAAAACAGTGAGATAAAATTTAACAAAATTATAAAGTTAAATAAAAAAGAGAAGGAAAAGTTAAACTCAGCTGAAACAGTTCCAGCTCGTCTGAAGGTGGTCAGAGACTAAAAGTTTAAAACGATTAACTCCAGCAAGCGAGTTTTAGAGACATGTCGGTAAAAATGCTATCATATCCTGTGGGAAAGGAGTTTCTAAAGTTCAGATGTTTGAAGAAGTGTTTACTCGTGTTTTCTGAAGTTTCTTGTTCAAATTTTCACGTTCCACTTTAAATAGTGTGGCAGTTATTATAATAATGGCTAAGGCACAAGAATGTAACTGATGCACCATTTAACCTCTGAGTGGTGTTGATGTGTTTGTTACTCAGTCGTCTGCTGGACCCACTGTGTCACTGTTTATTTTATTTTATGTTCGAAATATCAGGAGTGTCCAGCATAGGGTTCATGTGGTCCACCCTCACATGCGAACACACACACACACACACACACACAAACAGCAGGCCATGTAGGAGGAGAACAGAGTGAAGGACACAGCACCTCCACTTTTTACTCCCTGCGGGTTCACCCAACACCACATGTGTAATATAAATGTGTGGGGGGTGAACAGAGTGAAGACACTGAATATATTTTTATATGTTCTTCACAGAAAATGAGCAAAGCACAAGAATCTGGGTTTGAAATAATAATAAATCACATCACATTTTATTTTGGTAAAACCTGAACACCACACAGGTGTTAATGTGGAAAGAGAAAACTTGAAGAGATGAGGAAGCCGAAATCTCTAAAATCAGGCTGATATGTAGCATCACTGTGCTGTCAGAACATGTTAGAATTACAGGAAAAAGTTTGATTTTATTCACTGAAGTTGACTGTTGTAAATTCTGGCTAATGATGGACTGCATTCACTAAACACAGAAAGATAAACGTTTAGGGAAAACAAAAAAGGTAAAATTAAATGTTTTAACATCTTACAGACTTTACAGACATCCTGAAGTAAAGTGGTATCACCCCCCTCCCAACGGAGAACTAGTCCTGTCCCAATAGAGCTTTAGACAGCAGTGACCTGAGCTTAGTGTGATGTTTGGTTGGGTTCTTTTTGCATCTCACTTGTATATTAGCATAATTTGTGGTTGTTAAGGCCTCCAGGTGTGCATACCTTGCAGAATGACCTCTACGATCCTTCGTTCCTCTCCAACCTCATTGGTCACTATACACTCAAAATAACCCTCGTCCTCATGAGACGGAGAGATGATCACCAGAGACCCTGAGGACATTAACCTTCATGAAGGAAACAACACAAAACCAAAGATGAAATGAATGGAACTTCACACACTCCATTTACCATATTTACAAAACAACACGACTGACAGTTCAGCAATACTGCGAGATGTAGCAGTTTATTTTGAACACTGTTGGTGTGGAAAACAACCATCACTATCATATGTCATATGCAGTGTATGTAGTGGGACGTGTAAACAGATCATGAAATGTTTAACTCTGACCCTCCTGTAGTTTGTGAGGGTGGGTTACCTGTAAGCTCCAGACTGAGTGTTGACGGGTGATCCATTTCTCTTCCAGCTCACCTGTGGAGTAGGTATACCTGTGTTCTCACAACTTAACACCGCTCTCAACCCTGTTGTCAGGGTTACGTTTAAGGGGCCGGGGCTGATTGTGGGCCCAACTGTAAGAACAGAGCAGATGTATTAATAAAGGATGTTGCGGCATCTTCAACTAAAAAGTGATAATCATGCAATAAAGTGGAATCTGGTTATTTTTACACACACTTTGAGAGAATAAATGAAGACAACACTGAGAATCTGATTTACAGGCTTAGCCGTAAAGGAAAGCAGCCTAGAGGGTAAACAGAGAGGATATGGAGCGTGTGATACCGTAGACTCTGAGCTCCATGCTACGCTGAGCCGAGCCCGCCGGGTTGGAGACGCTGCAGTAATAACGGCCAGCATCAACCAGCTGCACCGACTTGATCTGCAGTGACCCCTCTGGCAGCTCCCTGAACCTGTGTTAGGAAAAGGGTTCCGTTCTGACTCCTTTTAACCCTCAAATTCTCTCAATAATCTCAAAGTACCTTCCAAAAATAAGAGATTATGTTTCAAACCCACCTGCCACTGCTGAGAGGAACCGGACCACCATCTTTCCTCCACAGCACTGCGGGGGTGGTCTGTCCTTCCACCTCACATGGCAGAACCACGTTCTGACTGACATGCGCTGTGATCAATGAGCCACCCTCTCGGATGACCGGCGGTACTATGAAAGAACAGCCATGTTTCACTTATGTTTGAATGAAATATGCTGATCTGATTTTGATGCTCTATTACTGCAAATACACTAATACACACAAACAGTAAGAGAGATACAGAGAGAGAGAGAGGAATGAATGAAAGAAAGAAGAATAAGTATCTCTTTGATACATTCTCTATCGCCAGCTATTTTTCTTCAAGCACACTCACAGAGAACCTCCACAACAAACTGAAGACTGGTGCTGCCAGCGATGTTGGACACCACACAGCTGTACTGGCCACTGTCCTGCAGCCTGACATCTTCAATCTCCAGATACTGACCACCTGCAATGCTCTGAAAGCGGCTTCCAAACTAAAACAAAACGAGAGAAAAACAGATTAAGCAAGACAGAGAGACAGAGACAGAAATATTAAACAAAGCATACATTTAAATCTATTCATTTAACCCTCCTATTGCCTTTGGGGTCAGTTCAATGTTTAATTGTTTAATGCTTCTAAATAAATGACTGACCATTTTTTCTTCATATTTTTTTTTCCTAATTTAATGGCAATAAAGGGGTTAACATAAAATTAACATGATGATATATGTTCAATGTCCTGTACACATTTTAAACACATTAGTTTTCTTTAGGGTCAACTGGACAATTTTAGGTGACATTAAGGTCACTCTGCTTTAGGGCCCTAACCTAACATAACCTCACCTGCAGTAGTGCAAGAACCACGGAAAGTTCACACCACATGAGGGCAGGGTTTAAATTGCTGGGGTCAAAGTGACCCTGAGGATAATGATGTTGGTAAAATTGGGGATAATAGGAGGCCTCAATGTATCTGTACAGCACTTTCTCCAGCTGACACTGTCACAAAGCAGCTTTGCAGAAATCTGTATCGGGGCCTCAAGCATGAAAGTGACCTAAAGCAGTGCATTCAGCAGATACGTACCTGCAGTTTAACATCGTCTTTGTACCACTCAATTTCTGTGGAGGGGTCACCATCTGTCTGACACCGCAGGGTCACCTGACCTCTAACTGGCACAGTGACCGTTCTGATGTCACTTGAGCCAAGAAGCGTGGGTGGAACTGAGGAAAGAAAAGGATGGAGCTATGAAACAGAAGTCGGAACAAAGGCAGTAGCCAGGAAACATGAATTAACCACCCACTTACGCTGGACGCGCACCCAGTGGCTTCGGCCATCCTCACCAGCCGGACTACTGGCCAAACAGGTGTACACGCCTGCATCCTCAACCTGAGAAAACCAGGGACAATATGCACACACACACACACACACACACACACACACACACACACACACACATACACATATGCGCACACACATGCACACACACACACACACGCACACACACACATACATACGCACACACACACACACGCACACACACACACACACATACGCACACACACACATACGCACACATACACATACATGCGCGCACACATGCACACACACACCCACACACACACACAGTTGAGCAGGCTTGTCCAAAGTGCAGCCCCAGAGCTAAATGTAGCTTGCAGACAGATTTCAATCGGCCTGTGTCTGTTTCACAGTGTGTTTGTGAGTTCAGACCATGCCTTCTACATGGTGGTGGTAGTATGAGGGAAGACTGATTGAGGGAGGGGGAGAACTCAGAGAACTTGGGCTGGAGTTCTGTGCAGCTTCTGCCTGTAGCTAGAAGGCCAGACCCCCTCATAGCTATAGCAGGACTGATGCAGGACTGAGGAACAGGGAGGAGATGGGGAGGAGGTGGGGATGTGAACACTTTGTCACAAGAACAGAAGGTGAGGATGTGAATTTATAGGGCTCTGGATTGAAAGAAGAAGGGGTTTCAGCCATGCTCCTCCCCACAAACTTCAGTTATAACATAACTACATTAAAAGTGGCACCAGCCAGTACGCTGCTGTTCTTGCTTTCACCTGATGGTGGCAGCAGTGCTGTAAAATTAGAGTGTGATGCGCCACACTGTGGTAACAAAGTTAGCTAAAGTTCAAGAGCCTTTCTTCTTTGATTGACCTCCATCTTCATTTACTGACCCACATTTAGTCCAGACTGCAGCCATAAAACTCAAACTCACACTGAGAGCTGCAGATTTGGTGAGATTTAAAACTTCTTATCAGAGCAGATTCAGCAGTTTAGTAAATATTAACCCTTTAATGTGGAAAAATAACAGCTGTTTAATCTGCTCTTCTTGTGTGATAAAGTGATTTCTGAATGAAGTCACTGTGTTTATTTGATATGTAAAGAAAATTATCTAACAAAACCGAAAAAATTATAATTTATTGTTTACATTGTCTCAAAGATTATATTTTTGCAACAATTAAACTCTTGAACAGCAATTAATAATTCAATAACTTCTAAATGAAAGGACCTGAACGCTGTTGATTTTGAGAAGCTGTCCATTTTGCTCCACCACAGCAGTACTGTCCTCCAGGGGGCGCCCATCCTTCAGCCAGCTCAGAGTGGGGGGTGGGATGCCTTCAGCAATGCATTCCAGCTCCAGAACACCATCTACTGCCACCAGCTTCTGCTCTGCCCCCAGTGGGCCCGACAGTCTAGGAGGCTCTGATCAAAAACATCCTTGTTAAATAAATTGCACCATCAAAAGGGAACATTTACTAAAAGATCTCATCATCAAAAGGAAAAAGTGAATGATTTCAAGGTCAGGAAAAAGGAAGGACGTTGTGCCTCTATCTCAGAGTTTCCCAGGGCTTGTCCTGGAGAACCCCTGTGTGGTTCATTTTTGGGTTTCCTGCTTTAACTCACTTCAGCTCCAAAAAGGCTCGTCAGTGAGCTGAGGAGCTGAACTCAGCGTGAGGAAAACGCAGGACAGGGTTTCTCCAGGGTTGGGGTTAGGGTTAGGGTTATCAGATCAGTTTTTCTGTTATCATCTCTTCCGCTTGTCTTCAGATCTTTTACTTTTTTCTCGGTGACACAAGGAACCTTAAAGCACCTTCCATCCACGTTCTTTTCCATATCTCCTCTGATACTGTCAGACTTGTTGGAAAAATGCCAACCAGTGCTGAGAAAAATGGAAGAATCACAACTCTCCAGTGGACCTGACCAAGTATGGAGAGCTGCTCATCTCCTGAACGTCGGCTGCAGTAAAGAGTAGATTTTTTTCATTCAAAGATAAACAGTTTAATGTCAAACAGGGCTGAACAGTTTGGGGAAATACGTAATTGCTTTTTCTGTCCATTATTGTGACCTGGACAACTTTCTATAAAATATAGTCCAGGCTTGTTATTTTGGTCAAGAAAACCAGACTTTTCATAAAAAAATATCAATACCTACAACACTCGCTTTTGTCATGTTAAAAGTTCATTTGATCAGATTTAAAATGAAGATACTGGAATACAAATTCATTTCTAAAGGTATCAGACAGTGAAGAGCATCAGACAGTATTTTGGATATTTTTGTACATTTTTAAATGAATTTCATGAACCATTTACATACATTTATTTCTGTATGGTACTGTGTGTAATATTTCCCCATACATTTTAAAATAAAAGCATTTTAAAATATATTTGGTTAACATGGTAATATATTCCGAAATGTACTTTAGTGTTTGAAATGTATTTCAAATATATAAAAACACATGTCCATATATATTTTTGCCATTTGGGCCGCCCTATGAATGTATATGTCTGTCTGTCTGCCCTGTGATGGACTGGTGACCTGTCCAGGGTGTTTCCTGCCTTCCACCCAATGACTGCTGGGATAGGCTCCAGGTCCCCCTGCGACCCAGAAGGATAAGCAGCTTAGATCACAGAAATGATCAGGCTACCGTTCCAACCTTTCTTTGTGGTCAAACTCTCATCATTTAAAATGAAATCTTGAAAAAACGAAACACCAATTAAGTGTTAACTTCTTCACTGTCCATCTCAAACCCTGGAGTGAGTAAGAACCTTAATAGTAATGACCAGCAATTTGCTGATTAGTGTATCAGTCAGTTCTTCACCGTCTGCACCTGAATTTGTTTGTAATAAAAGCACCTGCTAAGTTAACAAATGTTAACATAAATCTAAGATCTGTAAACTGTAACAGAAACAGCACAAAGCCTCTTTTCTCCTGGTGATGGTCACCCTCTGTGAGGGTCTGCTGTTACCTAGCACAGTGAGGTTGAAGGTTTTAGTGGTACTGCCCGCCGGGTTGCTGGCCACACAGCTGTAAAGGCCAGAGTCCGAGCGACCCACGGCCGGCAGCTGGAAGTGCGTTTCCTGGCCGTCCGGCAGCTGGTTGTGATTGAACAAAAGCGGCCGGCCATCCTTTAACCAGGTCAGTGTGGGGGGGGGCACGCCATGGGCTTCACAGCTCAGAGTGACCACTGAGCCCAAAATCACACTGACCTGCTCAGTGGGCTCTGTCCGATCCACGGTGGGGGGGGCTGAGGTGGGCACAGGAACCAAGAAACCTCACGTTATATAAGAGCAGGTTACTGTTTCTGTTAAAAACAACACAGTGTGTGTGTACTATGTGTTCTAATACCTGGAACCTGGAGGTGAAACCTCCGTTCTGCAGAACCGGCTCTGCTCTGAGCAACACACACATACAGCCCAGAGTCGGAGAGAGAGACACGGGAGATCCTACATACACACACACACACACACACACACACACACACACACAGGAGTTAAAGATACTGGTACACACACACACTGACACAAACACCAAAAACAACCCACAAAGTACTCTAACATGCAGAGAGTTTATTCGGTACCTGATTTCTGTTCTTTAACCAGTTTCCCACAATTTAGTTGTGTCCAGTAACATCACTAGTGAGTTCTCCCTCTGTCACCCATGTGTCAAACAAGGCCTGTGGGCCGGATAGAGATTGTGTTTGACACATGGGGCAAAGTTATTTTAATTTACTATTAATATTAGCCTGTTTCATAATGCCCTGCACTACAATCCCCAGCATGCACTGCAACGTAATGTACACCCCCACCCCCTCCCTCAACAACAATCTATGTGACAGTGGTTGCACCACATTTCTACACACCAGTAACATCATCAAACACACCAGCTGAGTTTCAGCAGTTTACACTATAAACACTATAAACCCTATAGACAATATAAAACTATAGACACTATAAACACTATAGACACCATAAAACTATAGACACTATAAACACTATAAACACTATAGACAATATAAAACTAGACACTATAAACACTATAGACACTATAAAACTAGACATTATAAACACTATAAACACTATAGACACTATAAAACTAGACACTATAAACACTATAAACCCTATAGACAATATAAAACTATAGACACTATAAACACTATAGACACCATAAAACTATAGACACTATAAACACTATAAACACTATAGACAATATAAAACTAGACACTATAAACACTATAGACACTATAAAACTAGACATTATAAACACTATAAACACTATAGACACTATAAAACTAGACACTATAAACACTATAGACACTATACACTATAAACCCTATAGACACTATAAAACTAGACACTATAAACACTATAGACACTATACACTATAAACACTATAAACACTATAGACACTATAAAACTATAGACACTATAAACACTATAGACACTATACACTATAAACACTATACACTATAAACACTATAGACACTATAAAACTATAGACACTATAAACACTATAGACACTATAAACACTATAAACACTATAGACACTATAAAACTATAGACACTATAAAACTATAGACACTATAAACACTATAGACACTATAAAACTATAGACACTATAAACCCTATAGACACTATAAAACTAGACACTATAAACACTATAGACACTATAAACACTATAGACATTATAAACACTATAGACACTATAAAACTATAGACACTATAAACACTATAAACACTATAGACATTATAAACACTATAGACACTATAAAACTAGACACTATAAACACTATAGACATTATAAACACTATAAACACTAGACACTATAAAACTATAAACACTAAAAACTATAGACATTAGAAACACTATAAACACTATAAAAACTAGTCACTATAAACACTAAACATTATAGACGCTATAAACATTATAGACACTATAAAACTATAAACACTATAAACCCTATAGACAATATAAACACTATAGACACTAAAACTATAGACACTATAAACACTATAGACACTATAAAACTATAGACACTATAAACACTATAGACACTATAGACACTATAAAACTATAGACACTATAAACACTATAGACACTATAAAACTAGACACTATAAACACTATAGACACTATAAAACTAGACACTATAAACACTATAAACACTATAGACACTATAAAACTATAGACACTATAGACACTATAAAACTATAGACACTATAAACACTATAGACACTATAAAACTAGACACTATAAACACTATAAACACTATAGACACTATAAAACTATAAACACTATAAACACTATAGACACTATAAACCCTACAGACACTATAAACACTAAAAACTATAGACATTAGAAACACTATAGACACTATAAACACTATAGACATTATAAACACTATAGACACTATAAACACTATAGACACTATAAAACTAGACACTATAAACACCATAAACACTATAAACACTAAAAACTATAGACATTAGAAACACTATAGACACTATAAACACTACAGACATTATAAACACTATAGACACTATAAAACTATAGACACTATAAACACTATAGACATTATAGACACTATAAAACTATAGACACTATAAACACTATAAACACTATAGACATTATAAACATTATAGACGCTATAAAACTAGACACTATAAACGCTACAGACATTATAAACACTATGGACACTAAAACTATAAACACTAATAACTATAGACATTAGAAACACTATAAACGCTATAAACACTAGACACTATAAACACTATAGACACTAAACACTATAGACATTATAAACACTATAAACACTATAGACACTATAAAACTATAGACACTATAAACACTATAAACACTATAGACACTATAAAACTATAGACATTAGAAACACTATAGACACTATAAACCCTATAGACACTATAAACACATAGACACTGTAACAGATGTATCTCTGTTCCAGTATTTGCATTTTAGGTTTAGTAGTGAGGCGATGTAGTTTTATCCATCATGTCCTCTAGGGGTATGGGAGGCAAATCCAGCCAAAAAAGGAATTAAAATTAAAACAATAAAATGTAAATGCAAACCTCTTTTTGCCATTTCTTTTTCCAAACATCTGCGCAAATATCCTGCCAAAATTGAAAATGAAGTGAAATACCTACATTTGCAATGTCATTTTTCACATGAGCACGAGCCATTTGTGACAAAAATAAAAATAAATGTAAAACAGCTGTTTGTCATTTCATTTTAGTCGTTATTCTGGTTTTTCATGGCCAAATCTAAAATGAAAAAGCTAATAGAGAAAAGAAAATCCAAGCTTCACTTTGGCTTTTCTTCATGAAATGCAGAATACGAGTCAAAACTAAAATCAGAATGCAGTGTTTATGTTCTTATTTCTTTTTCACAGCAATCGGCTGCAGATCTGACTAAATGAAAATGCAAAACTGATAAATCAACAGCAAAGTCACAGTTTGTGATTCAGTCAGAACGGCATCAGTCCTCAAGCTAAACACTATAAAACTAGTCTCGAGAAAAACTATCGTCATGACTCAGATCTGGTGAAACTGAACGTCAGCACAAACACCGTCAGACCAAACGGCCTCAGAGAAAAGGCATCAGACCAAACGCAGGCCTGGTTGAGCACAGACTGGTTCGTATAACTTAGAAAACTATTATGTATCTCGATATAAATGCCAGTATAACATTTCCAGTTTTTTTTTGACGGTGTTTGTGCTGACGTTCAGTTTCACCAGATCTGAGTCATGTGCGTTTGCATTTGCCTTTTCATTCTGACACCTAAAGCACGCGTCCGCGCCGAAAACTGAATCACAAGCTGTCACTTTGCTGTTGATTTATCAGTTTTGCATTTTCATTTAGTCAGATCTGCAGCCGATTGCTATGAAAGAGAAATAAGAACATAAACACTGCATTCTGATTTTAGTTTTGACTCGTATTCTGCATTTCATGAAGAAAAGCCAAAGTGAAGCTTGGATTTTCTTTTCTCTATTAGCTTTTTCATTTTAGATTTGGCCATGAAAAACCTGAATAACGACTAAAATGAAATGACAAACAGCTGTTTTACATTTATTTTTATTTTTGTCACAAATGGCTCGTGCTCATGTGAAAAATGACATTGCAAATGTAGGTATTTCACTTCATTTTCAATTTTGGCAGGATATTTGCGCAGATGTTTGGAAAAAGAAATGGCAAAAAGAGGTTCGGATTTACATTTTATTGTTTTAATTTTAATTTCTTTTTTGGCTGGATTTGCCTCCCATACTAGGGGGAGCTAGTTCATATTAAAGTGTCTCTAGTATCCCATAAAATGGTGGCAAAGAAGAAGTTGAGCAGCATGGTGACTCAAGCAAACAAGCGTCTGTTTCTGTGGAGAAGCTCCTGCTCCGCTTTCACAGTCATTTGTTTGAGGAACTTTCGTTCCCTTTCATTCAGTAAGTGTTGAATGTTTTTTAACTTAACATTGTGCTGGGTACAACATGGTGTTGAGGATTGGTTGAGGGCTATGCTAAAGCTAAGGTTTATGTTATCAGGCCATACTTTCAGTTTTTCAGCTGTAAATTCATTTAAAATAGCTGTGTTTGCAGAAGGACTTTTTGGTGCTTATTTGTGATTCCACTCTTCCACTCTTCTCTCTGGTTTGACTGTTTTTATAACAGTTTTGGGACTCTTAAGTGAGGCCTCGGGCCCACATGGACTCAATTTGACTTTTTTTTTCTTCTTTTTGTATTTGTGTGTGCTGGCTGTGTTGTGGAACTGGGGTTGTGGGCTAAATATTTCTTATGTCTGTGTAGAGGTGGGTTATCTGATTTACATTGCTTATTCACTATTTCATCATTTCAATAACACCAGAAAAAAGGTACACTGTCTTTGTTGTATTTCTTATTTACTTGTTCATTCAGAATGCAGTCCAAGACATCCTCGTTCCCTGCCTTTTATATAGATTCAGTGGGAAAGGGGTCCTGCTGTAAAAACTATAAAAACTATACACACTATAAACACTCAGTAGTTCACAAACTGATCACAAGACTGGATGAACAGCAGAGAAAAGATTCCAAGTGTCTAGATGAAGCACATCGGCAAGTTTAAAAGACCTCCTGGGCCTCCTAAAAGACCTTTTTCTGGGGCGTATATTTCAAGTATTCATGTTATAATTTTCAAGTATTCATGCCCATATTTTGCTGTTGACATTTTACTTCAGGTCGTAGCACAAATGTTATTGAACAATAAAATAAAACAGACATTTTCTGGTCACACTTAGCACTCACATTCAGTTATGACTTTCTTTTATATTCTAATCTAATTAAAATATTTTAAGTGTGTGTGTGTGTGTGTGTGTGTGTGTCTGACCTGAGCACAGTGTGTGTGGGTAGCAGGTGTGTCCGTGCGGTCAGCAGCAGTGGTTGGCCATCTCTGAACCAGCTGACCTGTGGGGGTGGAGTTCCTGTGACCTCGCATTCCAGTGTGACCACACTGCCCTCTACTGGTTCAACCTGGACATCACCATCACCAAGTATAACAGGGGGCACTATACACACACACACACACACACACACACACACACACACTATATCAACACTTCAACACTAATAATGATAGCAATAGTGAAGTCTGAGCTTCAGCTCACCCAGAACAAACACAGTGTAGATCCTGCTGTCCTGACCAGCAGGACTGACGGCCAAACAGGAGAACGTTCCAGAGTCGTCCGCTCGCAGGTTTCGGACTGTTAGCCTGTGGCCGTCCGGAGAGACGCTGTAACACACAGTGAGTTACATCAACACAAACATCAACACATCACATCACAACACAACACAAACATCAACACAACGACACACAACAAACATCAACACAACAAATAACACAAACATCAACACATCAAACATCAACACAACGACACACAACAAACATCAACACAACAGACAACACAAACATCAACACAACACAAACATCAACACAACACAACACATCACAACATCAACACAACAAATAACACAAACATCAACACATCAAACATCAACACAACGACACACAACAAACATCAACACAACAAACATCAACACAACACAACACAAACATCAACACAACACAACAAACATCAACACATCACAAGACAACACAAACATCAACACAACAAATAACACAAACATCAACACAAACATCAACACAACAAACATCAACACATCACAACGACAACAAACATCAACACAACACACATCAACACATCACAAACGACAACAAACATCAACACATCACAAACGACAGCAATCAACGCAACACACATCAACACATCACAAATGACAACAAACATCAACACAACACAAACATCAACACAACACAACACAAACATCAACACAACACAAACATCAACACAACAGACAACACATCACAACATCAACACAAACAACACATGAAGATAACACAACAGACATCACATCACAACATCAACACAAACAACACATCACAAGACAACACAAACACCAACACATCACAAGACAACACAAACATCAACACAACGACACACAACAAACATCAACACAACAAATAACACAAACATCAACACATCAAACATCAACACAACGACACACAACAAACATCAACACAACAGACAACACAAACATCAACACAACACAAACATCAACACAACAGACAACATATCACAACATCAACACAAACAACACATGAAGATAACACAACAGACATCACATCACAACATCAACACAAACACAACACATCACAAGACAACACAAACATCAACACAACAGACAACACAAACATCAACACAACAAACATCAACACAACACAAACATCAACACAACACAACAAACATCAACACATCACAAGACAACACAAACATCAACACAAACGTCAACACAACAAACATCAACACATCACAACGACAACACACATCAACACATCACAAATGACAACAAACATTAACACATCACAAACATCAACACAACACAACACAAACATCAACACAACACAAACATCAACACAACAGACAATACATCACAACATCAACACAAACAACACATGAAGATAACACAACAGACATCACATCACAACATCAACACAAACACAACACATCACAAGACAACACAAACACCAACACATCACAAGACAACACAAACATCAACACAACGACACACAACAAACATCAACACAACAAATAACACAAACATCAACACATCAAACATCAACACAACGACACACAACAAACATCAACACAACAGACAACACAAACATCAACACAACACAAACATCAACACAACACAACACAAACATCAACACAACAGACAACACATCACAACATCAACACAAACAACACATGAAGATAACACAACAGACATCACATCACAACATCAACACAAACACAACACATCACAAGACAACACAAACATCAACACAACGACACACAACAAACATCAACACAACAAATAACACAAACATCAACACATCAAACATCAACACAACAGACAACACAACAAACATCAACACATCACAAGACAACACAAACATCAACACAACAAATAACACAAACATCAACACAACACAACACAAACATCAACACGACAACACACAACAAACATCAACACATCAGAACACAGCAAACAACACATCACAAATGACAACAAACATCAACACATCACAAATGACAACAAACATTAACACAACACAAACATCAACACAACACAACACAAACATCAACACAACAGACAACACATCACAACACAACATCAACACAAACAACACATGAAGATAACACAACAGACATCACATCACAACATCAACACAAACACAACACATCACAAGACAACACATCACAACATCAACACAAACAACACAACACATCAAGATAACACAAACATCAGCACATCACAACACATCAACACAACAAACACAAACATCAACACAACACATCACAAGACAACAAACATCAACACAACACACACAAACACATCACAACACAAACATTAACACAACAGACAACACAAACATCAACACAACACACAACACATCACAAGCGTGAAAACAACACAACACAAACATCAACACAACAAACATCAACACAACACACATCAACACAACACAACAGACAACACAAACATCAACACAACAGACAACACAAACATCAACACAACACACAACACAACAAACATCAACACATCACAACCATCAACACAACACACAACACAATCAACACAACACAACACAAACATTAACACAACACAATCAACACAACACAAACATCAACACAACACAATCAACACAACACAAACATCAACACATCACAAGACAACACAAACATCAACACATCAACACAACAAACATCAACACAACAAACATCAACACAACAGACAACAAACATCAACACAACACAACACACAATACAAACAACATATCACAACAGACAAGAAACATCAACACAACAGACAACAAACATCAACACAACACACAATACAAACAACAAACAACACAACACACAATACAAACAACAAACATCAACACAACACACAATACAAACAACATATCACAGCAGACAACACAAACATTAACACAACAGACAACAAACATCAACACAACAGACAACACAAACATCAACACAACACAAACATCAACATATCACAACACAACACGCAACACACAACACAACACAAACATCAACCATCTCTGGTTTGTGTAAAGTGTGAGACTGACTCTATGCGCTCAGAGTGGGTGGAGTCCAGTTCTGCACCGTTCCTGAACCAGCGGAGGTGGGGGGCGGGGCTGCCCTCTGCCCGACACTCTAAACTCAGACTTTCCCCCAAAAAACCACTGACCTCAGCAGGACCTGCATCCACAACGGCGGGGGACACTGAGGGCAGAAACGAGAGAACAAAGAGAACACAGGCTTCACTGCAGCGATTAGTTATCAATAAAGTCGATTATGGAAAATACTGATGATGATGATGTCAGTCTCTAGTGGCTGTGACCGGTATATGATCCACACAGTCACTCTGACAGACTGTAATACACTACAGGAAGTGTAGGGGGCGATATGGCTTCTACTGTTTCATTTAAAAAGCTCTATAATGTTCATATGATCCACACAGTCATTCTGACAGACTGTAATACACTACAGGAAGTGTAGGGGGCGATATGGCTTCTATTTTTTTCTCCACTGTACCATAAAAGAAGAACTCTTGATGGTGATGGAGAAGAAAGAAGAAGAGAGGGAAACTGAGGGAATAATCTGATTCCACTAAATAATTCAGATTAACAGACAGATTAACTGTGTTTACCATGAACCGTCAGTGAGAAATCTTTCTGCATTTGTCCTTCACTGTTTCGGGCCACACAGGTGTAAGTTCCAGCATGATGAAGTTCCAGGGGTCCAAACTCCAGCACACTGCCACCTACACCTACACACACACACACACACACACACAGCTGAAAACACACAGTATGTCCAGGAGCTCTTTCACAGCTGTTGATGCAGTGGAACAATTACTGACCGACAGCTGTGCCGTCCTTCAGCCAGCTGACTGTAGGCGCCGGGACCCCGGTGACATCACAAACCAGCCGGACCCTCGAGCCCAGAGTGTGTGTGAGCATCTCGTGGAGAGGCCCTTCCATCGCTGGAGGAACTGAGGAACAACACACACCGACAAGCCATCATTCACATGAATGGAGACATTCCTCACTGCTTTGAAAAGTTGGAGGAGAAAGATTCTCACCGTGAACGGTGAGTCTGAAGGTGCGTTCCAGCTGCCCAGCAGGATTGGACACTCTGCAGGTATAAATTCCACCATCGGCCACCTACAGACCATTAACACCACACACACGGCTCTGCGTCACTCACCCTAGACTGACATTAGGGCTGAGCAATATAACTATGTATATTATTATAAATTATATCACAATACAAAACAATACATTTTTCTGAAAATGTCATGGATATCGTCAGTAACACTGACCGACTGCATATTTCATTATAAAAAGAGCAAAATTAGTCTGGTTTAACTGGATTTAGAGCCAAATACTGAATAAAAATCACTGTTTTCACAGAGTATTTTTTAAAATGCAGGTTCTTTTTTCTCAGTTTGAACTGGTCTGAAAAAATAAATATCGTGACATCGCGTATCATGAATACTTCAGGAAATTTTGCGATATTATATTTTTGCCATATTGCCCACTGCTAACTGCGCTGGACCTTTCCCAGCGTCCTGCTGTAAGCGAAGAGCAGGTGAGCTCAGATTAACCTGTTTAAGCTGCTTAGAGGGGAGTGTCACCTGAACTCCTGCTATCTTCAGTTGCTGCTGGTTAAACAGCAGTCCACCTTCAGCGGTCAGCTGCTGTCCATTATGATACCATGTGACCTCAGGTTCAGGGACTCCCTGCGCCTCACAGTGTAGAGTAACCGCTGACCCCAGCAGAGGGGTCATGACTTCTGATCCTGAGTGAGGGAGCAGGGTGGGGGGAACTAGAGCAGACAGCAGGTAGAGCTCATTATCAGCAAAGCCACACCAAAGACAGGAAAACGCTCCAAACACATTAACGATGGTCAGTAATTATTTATGTAGGAGAGGTCGGGGAACGTCCTAACACGGGGCGCGATTTAACACGGACGTTTTAAGATAAGAGAGTCCTTTATTAGTCCCACAATGGGGAAATTCTCAAAGAAACCCTTTTCAACGAAGGTGAACGTTCTATAACGTTGTTATAGAAGGTCAAGCAGCGTGAGCTTCCGGCGGCAACACCACATCTCCTAGCCACAGCCTCCCACCAAAATTCAGAGCGATTGCTCAGCGTTTTAAAGAGATCTGAGCCAAACAGTGTTTTCAGGGCAGGTAAGTCACAAAGTCCAAACTTATTTTACTTTAATCTCCATCTTGTTTCCTGCAGCACCATTTAGAAGCAGCTGATAAGCTCACAGCAAGTGCAGCTAGGCTTCAGCCCAGGCTCCGCACTGCGGGGTCAGTCCTTACACAGCGTTACAGCTCAGACACCTTCAGAGCACAAAGACTAATAAAGCACATTCAGTCTTTTTGTTCCAGTTTACACAGATTTTACACTGAAACAGAGAAACATCTGGAAACAGGGATTTTCTTCTGCTCTATTAGGATCTTTCAGATGTCAGTATTTTACTTTTAAATAATGTCAATTTCATTAATAAACTTATCAGCTGGTAAAGCTGTAGTTATTCAGACACAATATTCATATTTTACTGATGTTTTTATTTACTGGACTACAATAAATCTACCATTGTTTGACACTCAGACTCAGTCAGTGTTCATATATAATCTGATGTGTGTGTATCAGCTGATCTGTCTGTCTTATAGATGATAATATATAATGCAGTGCGGTCGGAAAATATATTATTTGCAACATAGAATCATATTGAATCAACTCTGTTTGCAATGATTGTTCAGGCGTTTCTAGCAGATGTTAAACTGACCCTCTGTCTGTTACAGTGAACCCACCCATGGAGTAAACTGGAACACTGCACTTCCCTCATTTTGGGTGGGGTTGTACTGAATGGTAGGAGCTAGAAACACAGTTTTTGTTTGTAGCAGAGATATTATAATAATAAAATCAGACCGTGTGAGGTCGCGCTCCGCTCTCGCCTACTAATGTAAATCTTTCTCCATGAATTACTGTGAGGATGTTTAGTCAATACAGGGCTCTGCTAACCATAAACGTTCAGAAGGATGCTCTTCTGGTCCTGTCCAGCAGAGTTGGTTGCCGTGCAGACGTACTGACCAGCATCCTGCTGCTGAGCCCTGGGCAGCTGCAGCATCTGCCCACCTTTAGATTTAAAGGTAAAATTACAGCCATGAATTTCTCATGTAGCATCAAACCCTGATTCCATGTCCACTCTTTACCTGGCAGGACATGAGCACCTGTACTGAACCGCAACACCTCTCCGTCTCTGGTCCAGGTGATTTCAGCTGCTGGATATGCTTGTACGTCACACAGAAGGGAGACCATGTGACCTTCCACAACGCTCACTGCCTCTTCACGCTCACCCACAATCCTCGGCGGGACTAAAAGGCATAGATGCTTAATTTAATCTAACAAAACAGCAAACTTAGCTAACACACTGATTTTATTATTGACTTTATCAAGTTGACTTGTAAAAGCCATCTTACTGTTCTGTCATCATTTTCTAACTGCAAGATTTAAAATGTTTCTCAGTTTTCAGCAGTTTTCAAGCTAGAACAACGAAACTTTGCAGGATCACAGGACCTATACTTAATTAGGTTGCTTGTGCTTTTCTTAAATGATCCAATGTACAGTTTTCATAAAACAATTGTTCAGGGATGATGTTTGACAGTGGATTTAAAGTACCAATGAATTTAAGGTATCAGTGAATTCAGGGTGGCAGTCAATTTAAGGTGGTAATAGATTTAAGATAGCAGGAGATTTGAGGTAGCTAGCAGTGGATTAAGGTTTAAGTGGACTCAAGATCACCATAAGATTACCATCAACAGTCTTCCACCATTTTTAAATATTTTAATATGTATAATATTTAAACTTTTTCAAGCCAATTTCAAGTCTGTTCACAAACTTTCACTTTCTAGTTCTTTTAATTATATTATTATTAATTATATAAAACCAGTGTGGTGTTTAAGCACCCAATACGTCATGCATTTAATCCATTTAAAAGTCATTTTTTTTAAAAATGAAAATAAATAATAAGCAAGTTTTTTTTTACCATGTACTGACAGACTGTGGAGTTTCTGCACAGCTCCAACTTTATTCTCTGCCACACATAAGTATCCAGCCATGTCTGACACCTGCACGTCTACAATCTACAGACAGCAAATGGATCCAGGTGAGATTTTCCACATAAAACATGTAGGAACAACATAAAAATGGGTTCAGATGCTAAAATCTAATCAGGTGAGAGAACCTAGTAACACAGTAAGGCAGATGTGTTGAGTGTTACGTCCAGCTGTCTGAAACGCTGCAGCTACACTTTCTTTTCACTGCAGAGTTCAGGTCCTGCAGGCGGAGCTCTCACCTCCAACACTCCGCCGTTCTCCTGGATGTGGTAGTGTGTGTTGGTGTGGAGTGGCAGGCCATCCTTCAGCCAGGACACAGATGGGGGGGGTGTTCCTCTAACATCGCAGCGCAGGAACACAGTGGAGTTCACCACAGCAGACACTTCCTCCATAAACTCATCTGACTGGTCAGAAATCTGAGGAGGGACTGTGTCAGGAATCAAAAAACAAGTGATGACTTTAGCAAAATCCTCATAGATTACAAGACTTACTGTTCACTGGAAATGGTAGGACAAATCTGTCTAACTCCCTGAGTATCTGGAGAAAAGTTTATGGGCGTCCACTTCAAATCTGTTTACAGACTCCTTTATGGAATAATTTCAAGCTTTTGTTTGGGGTAAACACACACACACACACACACACACACACACACACACACACACACTCAAAAGAGACTAGAGACTAACCCAGCAGTCAATGGGGCGGAAGGCAGGAGATTTTGTAATTCTTTTTGGTCCTCTCATGGTATAAATACAGTAAAGGACGTGTGTGACGATAGTGGTTTGCTGTCACTTCAGGAGATTTTTAATCTTCCAGCTTCTTCATACTTTGTTTATTTACAACTTCATTCTGCACTTTGAGCCTATGGGCTTCCCTGGGGCAGCACTCTCGACTCTTACCCCTTGCTAGACTGGATAAGACCTTTGGACAATCTACGAGGCAGAGTAGATGGATGGATGGATGGATGGATGGACAGAAAGATAGATAGATCGATAGAGAAATAGATAGTTTATTGATCCCGAAGGAAATGTAGCAGCCAGTATCAGTCACACAGCACAGAGAAACTATCACAAAGAATCTATCTACAGGCGTATACACAAGTAGAAATATACAGAAATATGCAATAAGATCCATCCTGAGATAAAAAGGCAGTGCAACAATGACTGTAGAAGGAGGCACAGGTAACAGCATATAATGACAATAGTGAATAAATATGTGCAGATATTGGTACTGAAATAAAGTGTCTAGGTGTGGAGTGTCCAGATGTGCAAGATGAGTATTGTTTATTTACAAAACTTCGGTAGGCCATCATATAAGCCAGTTGGCAGTGGAACAGCTGTGGGAATGAGAGCTTTCCTCTACTGGCCCTTCCTTGGATTGGAACACTATATGAGCTAATTTAGGTCACTCCTCTAAAAATTGAGCACATCAGTTCATCCATAACAAAATAATTCACAGAGCATGAGCAAAAGCTTACAGGAGATCTCAAATGAAATGTATTTCTAGTTGTACCTGTAATATTTGTAACTCTGCACCTGGTACATTTATGCATATGTTCTGGGAATGTTCAAAGTAGCAGATACGATCTCTACAGTAGATATACTATCTAAAGTATTTGATCTCAGTGATCAACTGTCGCCACATTTATGTTTTTTAAATGATGACTCAGCTCTTCAGTTTTCTTCGATTAAACGAAGGATGCTGATGGCAGGTTTTAAAGCCACCAAGAAAACTGTACTGCAACTTTGGACTGGCCACAGCTTTCAGCTATGAAACTCTGGAGATCTAGTTTTTTTAAAATATAGTTTACATGGAATCTTTTACAGCTAAGATTAAGAAGGCAAAACAGTTAACAATAAGAAACAGGGAGAATTTATACGAACTTCAGTTTCCAATTAAATTATGTGATGTTGTGTAGTTGTTTGTGTTGTCTTTGCTTTATTTTTGTTTGTGTGGGCTGCATACCCTACCGGTCACCCCTCTACAAAGAAGTGACAAAGAACTGCTGTTTGCCAGGCCTTAAGTAGAGGAGTCCACAGGTGTGCCAGGTTGGGCCTAATCAGCCCAAGGGCTTCTGGGAATTGGAGTTCCCTGAACTTGTGGCGCCTCGCCACCGTCGCCCTCTGCTGGCAGCCGGCAACACAGACTGGACCCTTACAATTTCAGCAATGACTGCAGTGTATTTCAAATGTATTTCAAATATAAAACTATACATGTCCCTATATTTTTCCCATATGGTACAGCTGAACAATGACTGCTCCTTGAATAAACAGCTAGAGAAGCAAGAAACAGAACATCACTGTAATGTTGGGTGCTTACTGAGTACTTCCAGGTCAAAGTGCATCTGGTCTTCTCCCGCCTCGTTCACTGCCTGACATGTATATCTCCCACCGTCCTCCAGCTGAGCTCGGGGGATCTGCAGGACCTGCCCACCTTAAAGGTAGCAAGTCATATTAAGGTACTTCTTGCAGTACTAACTGGTCTGTGTATTAATGATTTAAGATGGAATTATAAATTAATAGATAGTAATATTAATATATATTATAACAATTTTTATATTTTATTTAAATTTTATATATATATATATATATATATATATATATATATATATATATAAATATTTTTTTTTTCAGCTGTTCACCTGCCAGAAGCACAGCTCCATCAGCGCTGCCCAGCTTTCTGCCGTTTCTGTACCAGTGGAGGCGAGGCGGTGGGATGGCATTACTTTCACACGACAGACTTACAGGATGCCCCAAAACCACCTCTCGCTTCTCGGTTAACCCTTCATCTTTTTCTCTCCACTCTTCCTCATCATCTCTCTCCCCTTGTGCCCATCCAGAGGCGCTGTGATTTGTTCGATGGAAGACGGGAGGAACTGAGGGGAGGAAACGGTTCAAATGAGCACAGAGTCACTGATAGTTATGAACACAAGAATATTATAGTAATGAAGCTACACAATGTGTGAAATCCCCCCCTGGTATTCGGGGGTCCTGTGTTCTCTGTCTGCTAACTCTCTCTCCATAGCGGCGCCGATGCTTCAATGTCAGTTAATGTCTGTTTTATCAGTTGTTCTTCTGTAGAGTCTCTGTTCTAGTGCGGTTCTGCGCTCTTCCTCACAGTAACTGAGATCTTCCTCGTCTCCTCTTCTGTAGAGTCTCTGTTCTAGTGCGGTTCTGCGCTCTTCCTCACAGTAACTGAGATCTTCCTCGTCTCCTCTTCTGTAGAGTCTCTGTTCTAGTGCGGTTCTGCGCTCTTCCTCACAGTAACTGAGATCTTCCTCGTCTCCTCTTCTGTCTTCAGTGTGAGAAATGAGGAACAGTCACTCTTCACTCCAAACTCTTGGGAAACTGGGCGAGTTTTCAGATTTACAGATCTGCTGCAGCTCATTGTAAAGTTTTTCAGAGGAATCCGGGCAGAGTTACAGTTTCTAGGCTATGAAGGACCAACTGGGTGAACCAGTCTGCTACAGCGCCACCCTGAGGCAGAGCAGTGCTGCAGCTCTAGTTAGTTAAGAACACCAGAGACAGAAGCTGATTGTGGGGGAAGCAGATAAACTATAAGCTTCAGTGAATCTGGATTTGAGCGTCTGTTTTTCTCTAACAGACAGCAGAACGTCATAATAACTTTTCAGAAAATTGATTCTAAAACATTCAGGGGGTCCAAGAGGTTAATTGGGAGGTCCTGGACCCACCAGTACCCCCTGTATTTCGCATATTGAAGCTACAATTGATGTTTTCCTCTTCTTAAAAACTAATATTTACCCTGAACAGTGATGTGGAAGTCCCTCCTGTCCTCTCCAGCAGAGTTTGAAGCTACACAGGTGTATCGGCCCGTGTTGGAAAGAGAAACTTTCTCAATCTGCAGCAGGTGCCCTGCAGCAGGGTAAACTTCCAGCACCTGCTGAACCCACAGAAAATGATGAATTACACACTCAAAACCTCTCTCTCTCTCTCACACACACACACACACACACACACACACACACCTGCAGCATACATGAAAAGTGTACCTGTCCATCTTTAAACCACTGAGTGGCAGGTTCTGGAAATCCTTTGGCCAAGCAGGATAAAGTTAACGTCTCATTAATTCGCACTTTCTGCTCGCCGCTATCAAAACTCAGAGACGTTGAGGCTCCTTCAATCTGTGGAGGAACTGAGCAGACGACACTGAAGGTTTTCTACCCAGTCTGCTCTTCCTGGTATTGGACATTTCAAAATGAAGCTGTCACAAAGATCTTACCCAGAATGCTGAGTGTGTAGTGAGCAAGCGCCGTCCCTGCAGGACTAGAGGCCCTACAGGTGTACGTTCCTGCATCCTCGCTGCGCGCCGCCCCCACTCGCAATGTGCGTCCGCCCTGTGAGTATGTGAGCTGTGGGCTGGACACGATGGGCCTGCCGTCCTTCAGCCAGGTGATGCTGGGATTAGGATTCCCCTCTGCTTCGCAAAGGAGAACAGTGGAGGATCCCAAAACTGCAGTTACCTCAGAGTTCTCACTGGACCTGCGAATGGTTGGTGGTACTGGAGAAAGGACAAAAAAGACATGACAAAACAAAAAACAGAGCATCTTTTAGAAACTCCTTGTTCTGGCTCCTTTATGGCCACCATGAACAAAAGTCCATTTGGATCCTATGTCCAACGCCGATGCCCAGCGCCAATTCTGCTCCTATCGCTCCTGTCTCAGATCCTGTGCTCACCCCACGTCCAGACTGAGCCTCTTCTCTCAGTCCAGAGCCGGTCAAGCTCCCTGAGCTGTTTCAGTTCCTCGAGTCCCCTTTTGTCCCAAGTGCTGAGTCAGGTACCGACTTAGGTCCTGAGTTACCTCCTTTTCCACTTGGACTTTCAGATTCTGATCAGAATATTACAGAAACTTCCTGTCTTTTTGTGTTAAGATCTGACAGGTCAAGATAAGATATTTCACAAATTTGTATTACAGAATCCCCAAACGCTTTAGCCGATCGCGCTAACGTTACTCCTCCTAATAAACAGACACACGTTCAGCTCCGTCTCCTCATTATTCACCACCATCACTGTAATATTTCATCATCAACATTAACACACGAAGGTGATCAGAGGGGCGGTGGAGATCGAGTCTGCAGCGTCTGAGATCTTTAAAACGCAGAGTTAGAAAAGAAAATCATCTCACAGTGAAAGCAGCGTTTTACAGTAGGAATAAATGGAGCTCATTATGCTGGTAGTGAACTATGCTGCTGACTCAGCTGCCTAAAAACCATAGAAACGGACCTTAAACAGAAGTGAGGACCCTGTTGGGGTTCATCCTAAAGTTAGGACAGGATTTAGGAGGTTCAGTCTAGTTAGGATGTTTGTGTGATGCTGTTTTCTTATCTGGAGTTCATGATGAGATTATGAAGGTAGGAACTGTTATCCTGGAATAGCTACTGTCCGAAATTAAGTCCGGACTGAAGTCATCATGGAAACTAAACACATCAGATTTCAGAGCTCAGAAGTTTCTGTAATACGACCTCTGGTTTCCAGGTTGGCTCCTGAGTTAAATCCTCTCTATGTTGTGGATTCAGTTTCCAATTTGGCTGTTGGTTTTGGCTCTACCACTGAGCCTTTCATTGCTCCAGGACTCTTCAAGATAAACCCCAACAGTGTCCTAACTCTTTACTCTGTCTCTCACCCTGTCACTGATTCAGCTCTACCTCCCCTCTCCCTTGAGTTGTCCCCTGTTTTGATCTTGCTGTAGTCCCTGGTCCAGTCACAGTCTCCAGCAGTGCTCCTAGATCACGGCGTTCAAGAAACTTCATGTAAATTTTACTCATTTACAGCTATTATCTTTCAATCATGTGGCTCTGCTCTGGCAAGGACATTAAATAGATATTTGTGTTCTTCTGTTTCATGTATAGTGATGAAGCAGAGTTCAGAGAGTTACCCTGGACGGTCAGCCTGAACTGCCGTGAGTGTGTTCCTGCGCTGTTTCTGGCTGAGCACTCAAACACACCCTGATCCCTCAGCCTCACCGACTTCAGCTTCAACACCTGCCCCTGGTCAGCGAACTCCACAAGAGTGTCTCCATTACGGGACAAAACCCTGAAGAGACAGGCATACGGAGATATGTACATTACATATATATATATATATATATATATATAATACATACATACACATACATAGAGAGAGAGAGAGAGAGAGAGAAAGAGAAAGAGAAAGAGAAAGAGAGAGAGAGAGAGAGAGATGGTGGATCAGATTTAATGCATTATTTATATCATATATGGCTACATGCCACCATCACTCACATCACACTATGCGGCTCTCAATGTCAACACCAACAAGTAAACGTAGCATTCCTGTGTTACTCTGTGTGTGTGTGTGTGTGTGTGTGTGTGTGTGTGTGTGTGTGTGTGTGTGTGTGAGATTAGAACTCACTCTCCATTGAGACTCCACTCAACTGTTGGCACCGGACGGCCTGTAACACGACACTCCATCTCCACCTGCTGACCTAATAACACATTCAGCTCCTGCACTCCAGACACACCTGAAATGACTGGTGGAGCTACACACACACACACACACACACACACACACAGAAGAGTACAATTAAGTATGTGAGCAATTAAAGGAACAAATGAAAAAAAAACAATGATGCAACAATTTTCCACACATAAAGATACTTACTAACCAAAACCAATTGAAATCTTTTAAACACTACAAAACTAAATTCAAGCCACAAACTACACTATAACAAACTCTTAAAATTAGTTAATTATTGCAAATAATCTGTAGAAACATTTAGGATACAACCAGATTAAAAAAAAAAAAATTCTCCTAAAAAGTGGCACTGCTCTTCTTTACCCTGCACCACCACAGAGAAGACCCTGCTGGCCTGTCCAGCAATGCTGTGGGCAGAACAAGAGAAAAGGCCAGAATGTTCATTCTGAACTCGAGAGATCTTCAGCAGTCGGTTCCCATTATGCAGAAACACTCCAGAAAATTCCTGGACCTACAGCAAATACAAGATAGATCAGTACTGACAGTATTAGCTCTGGTCAATATGTGTGTGTGTGTGTGTGTGTGTGTGTGTGTGTGTGTGTGTGTGTGTACACTGAGGAGCTAGTTTATCAGGTACACCTCCACTTTCAACTGCATCCTCCAATGTAAAATGACTCTTGTATTAGTATAAGTTACAGTCCAGCTGAAGTTTGGGACAAAATGAGTGACCATAGTGACTTTAATCAGGGCATGACTGTTGGTGTTTAGCATGTGGGTTACAGTGGCCATCAGGATCGAAGCTCTGGTCAGCGACTGTTGTACAAACTGTGTACAACATTGCCAGGACATCCCAACCACAATAAACATAGCCAGGCAAACCCATCTGAAACCAACACAACCAGCGAATCCATCCAAAACCAACACAGCCAGGCAAACTCTGGTGGGTGTTTTCTCATGTTGTCAGTGAAGAAAAAGAAAGCCTCTAGTAGACAAAGGAGTATCGAAACTGGACCACGTCCATGGCAAAATATGGAGAACAGTCATGCTGAACTCGGCACAAATCAACCCAAAAAAACTTGATTCCATGTAATCAGCCTGTGCAGTGTGTGTGAACACGATTATTAAAGTTCTTCCATTCATCATTCTGCTGTTTATTCATGCTGGAGTTCTCCCATACACACACACACACACACACACACACACACACACACACATAGTAACACAGCGTTTACTTGTTGGTGTTGACACTGAGAGCCTCACAACACGCATCTCCCTAGTCGTCTTTACCACAATCATTTCTGTTCAACATGTTCAGTGTGTTGTAGAATTCATGCTGATCTGAAAGCTGTAGCTGTATCTAATAAACTGGCAACTCAGTGTACGTGTTTTTTTAAAAAAACTAAATGTTAACTTTTGTTAAGAAACACTTTTAATTCAGAATTTAAGCAAAATTGGCTGAATGTTTTATTTTTTAATGAATAACATAGAAACAATCATTTAGTCATGCTAAACCTACAGGTCTGCCATCTTTAGTCCATGTGATGGAGGGGAAGGGGACACCATGGGCATCACAGCTGAGGGTCAGTGGGTGTTTGAGGGTCACTGTGAGGTTAGTGATCTTGTCCCCCAAAATCTCTGGAGGAACTGGAGGATCAAACACCAGGATCAGGAAGCCGGAATGACAACGATTCGTGCATCAACAAAAAGCGTAAAACGTTTGGGAGTCGGAATCTCACCGTTTACTTTAAGCCGAGTTTTCCTCTCCGCAGAACCCGCCTCATTCACGGCTACACACCGGTAGTCTCCGCTTTGGCTGGCAGATGCTGAACCAATCAGCAGAGAGCCATTCTGAAACTGAGATACACCGTGCTCTGATTGGTCCATATTTACCTCCAGGCCGTTTTTGAACCAGCGCACACTGGGAGGAGGAGAGCCTATAGGAGAAGAGCATTTATAAATAAAAACAAACCGAATCTGTGTTTGAATGAAAGGTAAGCTTAGGTAAATTAAAAAAAAAATAATTATAAAATACATAATAAAAACACAGCAGATACGATTGGACGGCTGGTAATTGTATCAGAGAAGAACAACAGCAAAAAAAAAAAAAACACACTATAACTGCAAAATACAGTGTGTGACAGAATATAAGCAGAAAACTGATTTAAGAAAAAACAAGATTTCTACGATCTTCGGGCAGTTTGTTCGATTTGTAGCAGCATAACAGTTAAACCATGCTTAGTTTGGACTCTTGACTAGCTAATAATAATAATAATAATAATAATGGTAATAGTAATAATAATATTAATAATAGTGTCTTTATTTATAGAGCACTTTTCAGACCGGTTGCAGCTCAAAGAGCTTCGCAGACTGGTGATAATGTTTTACAGTAATAGACGAGACAATAACACAGATCAGATCAAAGAGATAAAGACCAAAGAGCCGCAGAGTCTTAATGAAGCTCTGAGTTTTCAGATGTTTATTAAAAGTGAGCTCTGAGCTCGACTGTCTAATAAAAGCTGAACTGAGCTCCACAGTTTAGAAGCAGAATAACTGAAAGAGTCTCTCCACGTTTTCTGTGTTTTACTGAAGGAGTTCAGAAGGTCAGAATCTGCAGATCTGAGATCATAAACAGACGGTCAGGAGCTTTAAGGTCATTTAGAGCTTTGAAAACCAGCAGCAGAGCTTTTAACTCTACACTGTAACTAACTGGACGCCAGTGTGGAGATTTTAGAGCTGCAGTAATGAGCTCTGCTCCCATCCTGGTCGTCCTGAATGAGCTGCAGCTGCTTAATGGTATTTTTGGGAAGTCCAGTTAAGAGACCATTACAGTAGTCACTAGTGCAGTGGCACTTTTACACGAGCTGTTTCAGTGACGCTGAGTAAACGCCTCATAGCAGAGAGCCACTGTCTATTTTTCTGCAAATCAGCTCATAATAGTTTTCAGCTCATACTAATCAAAACTCTGCAGCGTTTCAAGACGACATGTCGAAGACTTAAGATCTTCGACTGTTTCCTTTGGAGTTTTTTGGTTGTATCACATTATTGTAACAAAGTTGTGAAGAGTTTTATTATTTCATTGTTTTATTTTCAACCCTTTCACTCTCACCTTCTGCAGGACAGGGAATGACCACCCTGCTGTTAGCCACCGTCTCAATGACCAGATCTCCACCAGCTTTAAAGAATGGAGCCTCTGTAACCAAACAGACACACACACACACACACACACACACACACACACACACACAAATCCACACCCAAAAACACACACACACACACACACACACACAAATCCACACCCAGACAAAAACACACACACACACACACAAATCCACACCCAGACAAAAACACACACACACACACACACACACACACACACACACACACACAAACACACAGACACTATGATGTAACAACAATTAAACAATGACGATAAAATATTTCACACAGTTCCAAATAAACATTCTGTGATGTGTGTGTGTGTGTGTGTGTGTACCTAACACGTGTAGGTGTGTGTGTGTGTGTGTGTGTGTGTATGTGTGTATGTGTGTGTGTACCTAACACGTGTAGGTGTGTGTGTGTGTGTGTGTGTGTGTGTGTACCTAACACGTGTAGGTGTGTGTGTGTGTGTATGTGTGTATGTGTGTGTGTACCTAACACGTGTAGGTGTGTGTGTGTGTATGTGTGTGTGTACCTAACACGTGTAGGTGTGTGTGTATGCTGTCCTGTCCGGCGCTGTTCTTGGCGACACAGTTGTAGGTTCCGCTGTCTGAATGTTGGACAGTTCTGATGGTGAAGGTTCTCTCACTGCTGATTGGATGGCCGTTATGGAACCAGCTGATTTGAGGGGGCGGTTCACCCTGAACTAAGCACTGCAGCGCCACCGCCTGGCCAATCACAGCCTTCAGAGAACTTGGCACCGCCTGGATCTTCGGCGTAGCTGAAAAAACATTTATATGTATAAAACATAAAACAATATATCAGTTAATAGTGGACTTTTATACTTGATCTCTGTATTTTCTGTAAAAATGTTTGTGTCATTATATTTCTGGTGACTTAAGACCGTCGCACTCGCTGTACAGAGTAAAAATTCGAAACCATTGTTTTTAATGGAGGTACGACTCCGCACCGACACAGTGTGTCAATGCGTGCTGCCGCTCTGTGACTCCGAGCACTGTTTATATGAGTAGAGTGTAAAAATGAACCTGAACCTGCGTTTACCGGCTTTCTGATGCTACGTGGCGCATCCAGTATGTGATGGCCTTTAGTTCTGTTAAGGAGAGCTGTGTGCGCAGAGATGATCAGCTCTCCTTCACACAGACTGATCAAGAGGTCTGTATTAAGTTCACCATTAGAAAACAGTATATACAGAAAAACAATGAACAGTTTAAAGTGGGTTTAAAGAGACAGAGAGAGAGAGAGACAGAGAGACAGAGACAGAGAGAGAGAGCGACAGAGAGAGACAGAGACAGACAGAGAGAGAGAGAGAGAGAGAGACAGAGAGACAGAGAGAGAGAGAGAGAGAGAGTTGAGTTGAGTTGAGCAAAGACAACAGTCCCCTCACTCAGCCGGTCCTGAAGCACAGTTCAACACAAACACACACTAACACCTCACTAACACACACTAACACCTCATTAACACACACTCACACACACTAACACACACTCACACACACTAACACCCCACTAACACACACTCACACACTAACACTTCACTAACACACACTAACACCTCACTAATACACACTCACACACTAACACCTCACTAACACACACTAACACCTCACTAACACACACTAACACCTCACTAACACCTCACTAACACACACTAACACCTCACTAACACACACTAACACCTCACTAACACACACTAACACCCCACAAATACACACTAACACTTCACAGGCTCAGGACCAGAACACACCAGGAACCCTAATTAGAGTGAACCAAATTACAAAACAGCTCAAACTGAATTATCTCACCTACTGGGAAACTGAGTCAAACTCACAGAGTAAACTGCAGTGTTATTTGGCCCTAAAACGTCAGTACAGTGTAGCAGATTACCTGAGCACACTGACTGACCCTAAACTGAGGTCCACCTTGACCAAGTACAGACTCAGTCAGCACCGTTTGGCCATAGAGACGGGCAGACACAGGAAGTCTTGGCTACCAAAAGAGGAAAGACTGTGCCAGCAGTGCCAGCAGAACAGGCCTGAGACAGAGCTGCACTTTCTGACTGAATGTACCAAATTTACTCAGATTAGAACAGAATTCTTCAGTAAAATCACCAAAACATGTCCTGTGTTTGAGAATCTTCCCCCCACAGAGAAGCTGCCATACGTTCTAGGAGAACATAGAGTTCTGCACACTGGCAGCGCAGTACGTTCACACCTGCCACACTCTGAGGGACAGTGAGCGACCACACCATGTCAGAGATACACACCTATAAACACATACATTCTGCTTATTATTATTATTATTATTATTATTATAATAACACCTGTTATATCAGTTCTTGCTTTATATCTGTCATTGCTTTTTGTATATGTTGTACTTTGTTCTTAATCTCCCAACAAAAGCTTTGGCAATACAAGTGTTAATATTTGTCATGCCAATAAAGCAACACTGAATTGAATTGAATTGAGAGAGAGAGGGAGAGAGCGACAGAGAGAGACAGAGACAGACAGAGACAGAGAGAGAGAGAGAGACAGAAAGAGAGAGAAAGAGAGAGACAGAGAGAGAAACAGAAAGAGGGAGAGAAAGAGAGACAGAGAGACAGAGAGAGAGAGAGAGAAAAAAGAGAGAGAGAGAGAGAGAAAAAAAAGAGAGAGAGAGAGAGAGAGAGAGAGAGAGACTTTTACTTTGCTTTTAATGTTAACAGTGTGCAAGATTACACCTCACAATCAGACAAATCCCACTCAGCCCCACCCGTCCTCCCCGCCACCCGTACCCCCACCTGTTACACTTCACACAAGACAACGCATCACATACACATTGTGAGTTCCCCATTCTCTACACAACACAGTGCTTCATCAACACACCATGTTTCCTGAAACGTCAACAAATCATTCATCGCCTTGTAGTAAGCGAAGTCCACTTTCATGCGTGCTCTGATAAAACTCTTTAGCATCGTCTCAGGGTCTGTAAGCCCTTGTCCCCTCAGTTTGTTTTTCCTGGTGAGCCATATGGCCAGTTTGGCTTGACCGAACACAAAGTTTAAAAGATAGCATTTGGTCCGCTGTGAACGAGTGTATTTTGGGCCCAGTATGAACAGGCCGTAAGTGAAAGTCATTTCAAGATTCATACATAGTCTGTGTAAAGAACCAAACAAGACGTTCAGCCATGAGCAGTGTTCAAACAGATGATCCACAGTCTCAGGTTTGGAGCAGAAGGGACAGTTCATATCCACTCCCTGAACAAAGTGTGCGGTGTGCTGGTTTGTGGCTATTGCCCCGTGTATTATTCGCCACTGCAGGTCTCCCGACCTCTTGGGGACTGGGAGTTTATACAGCACCTTGCCAACAGTGCTCTTTTACCTCTGCCAAGGCCCTCAGGTTCCTCACCTTCACACACACTGTGTACAGTGCCTTTCCATCTGCATCCTTGAATATCCGTAGACTCGGAGAGGAGAAGGTCAGCAAGGTGCCCCTGTTCTCCTTCCAACCTCCATCGGCAGCGGTCACTCTCAGTGAGGGGAATTCTGGAGCAGCATCCCTTTGTGGCAGTTCTAGGAGCTCCTGCACCTGCTGGGACAGAGCTTGCCGCACCTCATTCAGGAACTGTCCAAGCAGTCTGTGTGTGTTGATGCCTGTTTGCTGAGCCAAAAGCTGTGCTGTTTTTCAATCTGTGCCATCTGAGTTTCGCAAATGGCCTATTTTACAGATGCCGGCATTCAGGAAACTCCTCATCAATGTGGTGGAGCGCACAGAGCGAAGAGGAATCAGCTGGTTATGGAAAATCGGCTCTTCCCATACCCATGCCGTTGGTTCTATGCCCTCCTCAAACTTCCATGCTTTCAGTACTGATGCGTAGAAGTCCTCCGAGCCTGAGAGATCCAGCTCGTCAGCATTGAGGAGGAAGAGGTGCCGGTCAAGTCCCATGCTTCCAGCTTTCCTGAGCAGTGTGTGTGCAGTTTCCTTCCAGCACAGGTCCAAGTTGTAGAGCAGCCGCTGTGCAGCCTTGAGCCTAAAGGCTGCCACTCTGCTCTCCAGATCGATGAGGCCTTGCCCTCCCTCATGGGTAGGCAAGTACAGAACTGCTGCCTTTAGCCAGTGCTGACCCAACCAGAAAAAGGCCACCAGCCTCCTCTGGATCTCAGCTAACAGGCCAGTAGGTGCGTTGAGCACGGCCAGTCTGTGCCACAGGGTGGATGCCGCCAAGTTGTTGATTATTAGCACCCGTCCTCTGTAAGACACCTGTGACAGCAGCCACTTCCATCTCGCTAGCCTCTCCAATATTTATGTCAAGGCACAGTCCCAGTTTATCCTCACCACTTCTGCAGAGCCTAGATGAATTCCCAGCACCTGTTTTGCTCCACTGTAAACCCCCCGGCAGCTCTGGGGGCTCAGTGCTACTCCAGGGTCCACAAAGCAGGGCTGCACTTTTACCCCAGTTCATCTTGGCAGACGAGGCGGCGCTGTATGTGTGTAGACAGTCCTCCAGCTCTTCAACATCCACTCTGTTGCTCACGAACACAGAGACGTCATCTGCATAGGCTGATACGGAGTTGTTTGTTATCCCCTGGATGCCTACCCCCTTCACTTTTTTCCGTATTAAAGCCAGCAAAGGCTCAATGGCAAGGGAAAAGAGTTGGCCCGACATTGCACATCCTTGTCGGACCCCTCTCCCCAGCGTGATTGGTCTGGCCAGTCCCCCTCCAACTTTTACTAGGCACGAGGCATCTGTGTACAGCAGTTTGACGTAATTAATAAAATTCTCTCCAAAACCAAACCTCAAGAAAGTGTTAAAAAGATAAGCGTGGTCAACACGATCAAAGGCTTTTTCCTGGTCCAAAGAGATCAGGCCAAAGTCAACTGGCAGGCTGTTTGACAATGCCATCATGTCTCTTATTAAAAAAATACTATCCAGTATTGAGCGACCAGGAATGCAATAGGCTTGGTCTCTGTGTATAATAGTGTCCAGCACACATTTCAGCCTGTTGGCCAAAGTTTTTGAGAGAATTTTGTAATCAGTGCATAGCAGTGCCAAGGGACGCCAGTTTTTCAAGTCACACAAGTCCCCTTTTTGGGTAGGAGAGTTAGCACTGCTCTCCTGCAGCTGAGTGGCAATTCACCATTTTTATACACTTGTTCAACACTAAAAGTAAATCCTGACCAATATGATCCCAAAAGTCTTATAAAATTCTACCGGCAGACCGTCTATTCCTGGGGCACGGCCTAATGACATCTGAAAAGCAGCAATTTTCAGCTCCTCTAATGTCAAAGGGAGGTCCAACATGTCCTTATCATCCAGAGCCAATTTAGGAAAATCTGCCAGTAGTGTCCACACAGTCATTATCACACTTATCTGCTTTATACAATTCCAAATAAAATTCTACTGTCCTCTCCTGTATTTCTCTAATATCAGAGGACAGGCGACCATCCGACATGTACAGGGAATATATTTGTTTCCTCTCATTATACTGTTTTTCCACTCTGCCTGTACACCTTCACTATCTTGACCCCCAATTTGTTGCTCTAGCCGTGCTATATCACGTTCAAGAGCTGCTAGTAGGCGTTGTTTTTCTTCTGTGGCATAAGAGGTGTACTGCTGACAAAAAAGTCTGATTTGGGCCTTACCAACATCCCACCACTGCCGCAAGGAGTCAAAATCATCTTTTCTTCCTGACCACCTTGCCCAGAAAGTACAAAAACTAGAGCAAAAGGCAGCATCTTGTAACAGCCTCACATTAAATTTCCAGTATGCTGTTTTTCTGTGACTT